ACAAATAAAAGAAGTAACTTTGAATGCTGAATGAATACATTTTTTGCTGTACTAAAATCAAAAAATAATTTACTCGATTGACGATGTCATCAAAATTAAATGGTGAAAATTATTAATTTTATTAAATCTAGTACATAAGATCGTATACAATTATGTTAAACTTACGAATATCAAGGATTAGATAATTCTATTAATATTTTAATATTAATAATATAATATAATAATATTATGATATTTTAAAATTATAATTGATTAATTTTATAACTAGTTACTAAGTTACTTTATTCCCCAATTCAAATTTCAAAAATTAAAAATCTTAAAATTATATTTTTTTCTAAGATTTATTATTTTTAATTAAAATACTTGAAACTCAGTGGCGCATTTAGGGGGGGGGGGGCGAAAGGGGCAAATGCCCCGGACGGCAAATTTTTGAGAGCGAAAAAATATTCTAATTTTTATTATTGATGTGTTCATGATTTTTTTAATTTTCACACCTTTTTCGGTATTATTTAGTATTTTAAAAAATATTGATGAGAATCTTATAAGATATTAAAAAAAATATACTATATCTAGTTACCTAGATAATAGTGAAATAGCAAAATAGGTACATTACTTTCATTCGATAAGATCTTATATTTTCGTTCAATGTTTATAATAAAGACTTGAGTACACAGAATGGGGTATTCACTTTAGGGCACATTTAAAAAGTTTACAAAAGGAGTAAAATTGTACCAAAAAGTGTTCAATGTATGTTAACATTTATAAATGAGAATAGTTTAGTTGAAGTATACCCTTATATTGATATTGCTCTAAGGATGCTACTATGTATGTACACTGTGTACAGCGTACATTGTACACCTTCAAGTAATTGTTCAACAGAAAAATCATTTTCTACATTAAAAAGGGTTACAAATTATTTAAGATCAACAACGGGAGAAAATCGTCTTAATTAATAAACAACCCACAACATTGAAGCTGATTTAAGGAAAACTATTAATTTTAATGATATTATTGAACATTTTTTTTCTCAAAAGTCAAGAAAAAAATTGTTAAGTCATATATGTACATATTATAGATAAAATTTGGAAGGTCTCACTCAACTCCTTCTGGTGCCGCATTAGGGTTAAAATATAGCAAAACAGGGTAGTTTTTTGTTTTTTTAAATTAATTCAGAATGTATAGGATTCAGCGTGAACATGTAAAGAACTTAATGATAGATTTTATTAATATCTATAAAAAAGCATTCAATGCAAATTCTCCTAAGTCCATTGTTTTTGAAGAAAAATTAAAAAATATCAGAATATTCTATATATTTTTCGAAATTGGATTTTTTCGGTTTTTAAAATATATATAACGTACGGTTGGGTATTGATAAAATATTTTGTATAAAAATTATACAGAATTAAATAATCAAAAAAAAAAGATTTTGGGTAAAATTAACTTTAATATAGGTTTTGATTTTATTTACTTGAATTTCATGTAATTTTTCCAAAAAAAAAAAAAATTACAAATACCTATAAATTTATTTAACAAATGTTTTGCATAATTAATTTATGCCTCTTAAATGGTTCCTTGAGTGTTTATCTATTGCTCTGTGAGTATTTTTTCCGATAATCTTGAACGGTCTAGAAAATATAGTGATATTTTTAAGTTTGATTTTATTTTGAAATAGTAAAATTATTTACCTGTAATACTAATTGTTTTTGTTCCTCATTTTTTGTAAATTTGTGGTTATACTCTTCAATAAGCTCGATTCCCCTCTCATCTGAGTCATTCACGACTTTAAGTGATTGTATAATTTGTTTTCTTATTTTATAGTCTTCTAGATTATTCCAATTAGGCGGATCAACAGTTAAGAACTTTGTAGAAATGATAAACCTCTTGAACATTCCAATCGATTTATAATTTATCAAATCAACTAAAAGATCTTTTTGAATAAAATATGAAACATCTTCTAATTTAAGAGCTATTTTTTTTCAAATTCGATTTCTTCCTCTACTTTGTTTATGCTACAATTGTAAGAACTCAAGATTCTTTCAGCCATTTTGTGTTTTATATTATTATCCACTCGATCGTTTAATATTGAAAATGTAAAACACTCTGGATTCAAATACCACAAATGATTTATTATTTTTTTTAATCCTATACCTGCAATTATTTTATTATGCAATTTATATTCTTCTAATCTTTTTAAAAATAATATGTCATTAAGTGGGGCTTTAATTGCATTGTTAGACGAAAACCAAGCAAGGACATAACATTTAACTATGAAACAACAAATATCTTTTAATGCCTTTTCTTCTTTGCTATTTAATTTAAATTGATCTTTAAATATAAATATTTTTAAAGAATATATGATTTTAGCCATCCATCTAGCAAAATGGTATGGGCCAGGTTTTCTAAAAACAATGCCTCGAGGTGGAACACCAATTAAAAATATAATAACCAGTTCTAAAAATTCTTGCTAGTCATCTCGAGGAAGATCCTCGACAATTTTTTTTTTTTTTTGAATATACAATAATTTCATCGACATCATTTTTTAAAATATTATGAATATAGGAATCAGTTATCGACGTGGATATTTTGTTTTTATCAATATTTTCCCACACATTTTGAAATCTTTTAAAAAGCAATATATCTGGTCCAGTCATGGAAAATAATTTTATTTCTATAAATACTCTTTGTAAAACAACTTCAAAAATGAGATGTCGACAAGCTAAAAACAATACTTCTCTATCTAAACTTTTTTCTAAAAGTGTATATACTCCATTCAACCTCCCTGTGTTAGAAACTATAGTATTAAACACAAATGCTTGGACTTTTTCTAGTAATGACCACCTTTGTATAGTATCAAAGACAGCTGAAGATTGAAATATTCTGTCCCAAAAGACATTTTGGGGACTTCAAGAAGTTGTACAACATTCATTGCTATTGCAATAGTAGCCAAACGATCAATATTATTCTTTCCGGTAAGGGCTGGAAGTATTTTTAAATTCCAATGAATTACAACATAATTTAAATTTTATTCGTGAAATTCCGAATTAATATTTTTTTGATATTTTTTGTCGATAAGCTTCACGGGACTTTTTAATTGATGTTCGGTTTATAATATAAATATTAGAATCTAATGACAGTGCTTCTACACATGCAGTTAACAAATGGACAGCATCCCTATAACTTATTTTACATCTATCAAGAGTGACTGATAATCTAGGCGTTAAAAGTTCTATCCTACCTCTTTTATTTTTTGATGGACCTGGAACTGGAGATAACTGTCTAATTACTTCGTCTTCGTTTTCCAATTCTTCAAAATTTAACGTTGATGAAGAAATTGAATATGGTTCTAAATTTTATTAAGTATAATTTGTTAATTTATATTTACTCAACCGTACGTTATATATTTAAAAAACCAAAAAAATCCAATTTCGAAAAATATATAGAATATTCTGATATTTTTTAATTTTTCTTCAAAAACAATGGACTTAGGAGAATTTGCATTGAATGCTTTTTTATAGACATTAATAAAATCTATCATTAAGTTCTTTGCGTGTTCACGCTAAATCTTATACATTCTGAATTAATTAAAAAATAAACAAAAAAACTACCCTGTTTTGATATATTTAAACCCTAATGCGGCACCAGAAGGGGTTGAGTGAGACCTTCCAAATTTTACCTATAATATTTTCATATATGACTTAACAAATTAGAGGGGTACTGTATTAAATTTTTGAAGTAAAATATTCCACCTATATACATAAGGACCACCCTAATGTATATTGACAAAACAATAAATAATAGGAAAGTCAGCTACATTAATATAGAAAAAAATTTCATAAAATTTCCAATTTGAATACCTAAGGTTTCAAAATTAAGCATAAGATTTTCTTTGTAACCAAAAAAATAAAAATAAATACCAGGAAGTTCCAAAATGTTTTATAATCGATACTAACCAAAATGTTGACGAAATCGGATACTTCAACGACTTTCCATTGAACGATATTAGTTCTTTAGTTGTTATCCGATAAATATTAATCGCGTCTACTCAAAACATTTATAATGTAATTCTAATAGTATTTTAAAAACATTTTACATTTTTTAAATATTCAAAAGAAATGTGCACTATAATATTTAAAGGCATGTGAAATTTTCGATTTTCCCATATCTCAGATGTTTAATATTTGAAGTGCAATATACATAATTTAGAAATTTTGTTCTACAACTACATCAATCAACTTGATAAGTATAAACTGATCGAACTGACCTATTTCACTCAGAATCGTTTATCCGAGAGAAATGGCACATTGAATTCAAGTTCAATAGACCAATATAGCAATTCGTCCGTCTCAGCATCTCATCTGACTTTGGAGTTACGCCCTTTTTTCTTTTGATTTTATAACCTTTCAAAATTAATAAAAATAATATTTAACTTAAAACCTAACTAAAACTAAAATATATTTACATATATATATATATATATAGTTTGAACCTGACAAGTAGAAAAAAAGAATTAGTAGATTATTATGTGTCCCATCCATGGACACATAATCTACCTAAGTCGTGAAAAATAATCGGTGATAAACAATAGCGTACGATTTGTCGATTCGACGGATGAATGGAATAAATTGATTTCCTGATTGAACCGATAACAATTAACACGATCATGTTGAAAACGGTCCGGCGTTAGTCCGATTTAGAAACCCGCGTGCGTGTGCTCGGCGGTGCTCGTGTACGTGCGCGTCCGCGAATCGGTTCCCGTGGCACGCATCGCCATTCGGACACCGGACCAAAAACGATGACCTGCCCTGGCGACGACCGTCGCGCACCGTTCCCGTGTTCCGCGATGCTTCGGCGCTGCCGCGTTACAACGACCGTAGCGGGGCCGACGACGGTTACGCGGCACCGCGCGTCAAACACTTAACATCCAATTTGTTATTCGATTTGATTCCGTCGAATCAGCTGGATATGACCCCCTCTACGGGTTCGGATAGCGGTTAAATTGGTGCGCGCATGATAGGTGCCCGCGGCGTCGCGATTGCCACCTTTTAAAACGCTTTAAGCACCGCCGCAGTCGCAAATTATATTCGCGCCGATCCGTGCACCGATTGATTGCGCGCGCGCTCCGAGTGTTGCTGGGCGCCTCCATCCTGAGTAGCGATGGCCGATTTCGCTTCGGTGATGCAAAAAGTGGACGGGCCGCAGCAGCCGCAACAGCCGGACAACGCCGGGCGGACGGTGGTGGACCAGCAGCAGCAGCAAAACCTGAAGCTGTACAAGTCCCGGTGGATAATACTGTTCGTGTACATGGTGTACTCGATGGCCAACGCGGTGCACTGGATACAGTACAGCATCATATCCAACATCACCGTAAAGTTCTACGGCGTGTCCAACTTCGCCATAGACACCACGTCCACCATATACATGATCGTGTACGTGCCGCTGGTCATACCGGCGTCGTGGGTGCTCGACCGATTGGTTAGTGGTTTCCGTCGTACCGCTACACACGGCCCACACCGCGTACGAAGGCTATGCACGTTAGCTCGTGATGCCCAAGACGATTTCGACGCGAAACGGGTTTCGCCCAGATCGAAACATAAGCGCTTATCGCAAATAGGTATCCTTAGACCGTTAGTTATAATGGTGGTACACGTCCCCGTGATACCTGTGACCGAGTGGATGAGATATGATGAAAAAGGTGGGTAGGCCATAACCCAGATTACGGAACAACAAGGATTGTCTAGCTGTTTACTTGAGTGCAGGACATGCCAACAGTTAACATGATGTTTCCCGTTCGTCTGTACGTTAATTTACACGGTTTATATGAACCCCTTTCCGATAGATATGCTTATATAGATGGGACAGGTGAGTGCTATTCAAATTTGGTTTTACTGCAGTTCAATATCACCGAACAACATCGTGTTCAATATAATTTTACATCACACTTTTCGAAGTTTAATTGAACTTTTACAAATTCGATTTCGCTTTATTATACCAAAAAAAAACATTCTGGCAGTCGGTGTACTATATATATATATATATATACGAGTACAAGAGAAACCTTCGTTGCACATGTACACCCACCACCAAAACGTCGGTATGCGTCCAACGAAAGCAACACTTGTTCTTTTGGTATTTTACCAAGACAGGAAATTTAACACTTACCTTTCCCCATAGGCGGACATTTGGTTGAATTTTTTTTTTGGGGGGGGGGGCTATAATAATTCAATGTAAAATAACCCACAGAGGCTTCCCCCCATACCCCCTTCTCGTGCACAAATAAGACTTATTAATATTAAAAATATAGATATATTTAAATTGTATTAAAAAATAACACATATAAATAACATATATTTAAAAATAATTAATATTTTATTTTAATGACAAATATCTATTTTTATCAGCAAAGATATTCAAAATATCATCGCTTTTTATATTTTTCAATAAATCATTTTCAATATATAGTATTAAAAAATCACTGGACCTTAGTATTTATTTTTTTCATTACACTGAAACTTCTTTCGTAAGTACCTAGCCGAATTATTGTTATTCTAATTGGTATTGTTAATGCTATTGTAAATAGTTTTTTTATTATTTCTTATTTTAAGATTTTCAAAAAAAAACAACAGATAATTATAAAAACAACGAATAATATTTGTAACAAGGTTTCGATTTTGGGGGGGGGGACTATTACAATATTTTGGGGCTAAGCCCCCCAAGCCCTCTATTGTCCGCTTATGCCCTTCCTTTACTCTCGCCACAAACATATTGAACAGATCATGTATTTTAAAGAAGTTCACATTTTTTTAATGTATAGGAATAATAATCAAAATTAGTCTTATACAAGTATTTGTTTTAAATTTGTACACTGAGAAATGTACTGCTAGTTATTGGGTCAGGATTGCTCATGCGGGAATGTATCGAATATAAATTAATTTTGTTCCTCGTACCTATTGTACATTAGAACACTTGATGGGGGTTAATGTAAATAAATACAAGTTGAACCCATTTTTTTCCTTTTACCTGGTGTTCATTTTTCCACTCGTTGCCCGTAGGTGGTATTTATATTTTGTCCCGAAAAACGACATCCAATTTGAGTCGTAATAACATATTTAAAAAGTATATGTTTATCAGTGTTTACCAAACATGAAAAATAAATTACACGAAAAATTATTTCATCATTTTACACTATAAAATTATCGAATCATGTAGTACTTGGGTTCTCCAGAATATCGTCGATTGTTACTAAAATAAATATAACTTAGTGGTAGTTGACTTTAGGGCACCGAAATCCATGTTATGTAAGGCAGTTGCGCTATAAGCTGCTGATGTAATCCCACTTATTGATCACAATTTTGTTGGTTTCATACTATTTCTTCAACGAGTTTACGAGAAAAGGTGAGATTGCTCTAAGACTTCAAAACTATTGCATTACCAGTAAGCAAACATCCGAAAAGCTTCCTATCTCCTTGATCTATTCCGGTTCTGTTCTGGAGTTCGTATACCAAATTGAACGTGCCGATTAAACGCTTCCAAAAAATATGTTGTGTCAACGCAGTGTGATCATATACGTGGCCATAATATATTTTATGTATTCTCACTATTTCGTCAAAGATCCATCGTACTCGTGGTATACAAGAATTTATCACTGAACTTGTATAGTGTTATAACCCACATAACTTGTAAAAAATCCATTTCGAACAGCTTAATCGTTTATTAATCGGATATACTTTCGCGTTAGGTTTAACTGTACATATAGTGTGTCTCAAAAAAAACACAGGATTTAAGTATTTTAAAAAAAACATAGCAAATATATCATTCTTTTCAGAAGAAGTTAAGGTTTAACAGTAAAAAACAATATCGGGCATATGACCCACCCCTCCTTACTATCCCTACAGGTGATTATTCTTTCCATAAAATTTATCATCACTTGATCACACATTGCCCCATCAAGTTCGATGAGGACACAACGAATTTCTTGCTTAAGTAACAAGGCACTTCGAACTTTGTTCTGGTAAACTCATGACTTAAAGTATCCCCATAAGAAAAAAATTACACGGTTTCAAGTCGCAAGATCGAAATGGGTAGATTTGATCTCTACGCAACGAGATTAGTTCAGGAACTTCTCACGCAGCAGAGTGATTGTTTTTCTGAAGTGTGACAAGTTGAAACCAAACATTTTTGATATTCATTTGGTCCAAATAAAGCCAAAGAAAATTACTGAAGTCAGTAGGTATTCTTATATGGTCACAACAAAACGGCGCAACTTGTTACACTTCCAGAGAAACAATCCCTCTGCTGTGTGGGAAGTTCCTAGAGAGACAAATCTCATTGCGTGGCCAAAACTATCTACCAAGATTTTGTGACTTGACGCCGTGTAATTTTTTTTCTTATAGGAATATCCGAAGTCATTAGTTTACCATAACAAAGTTCGAAATATCTTGGAATTTAAGCAAGAAATTCTTCGTGTCTTCAACGAGCTCGATGTTCAGGCAATGTATTATTCGGTGATGGTAAATTTTATGGAAATTATAATCGCCTGTAGGGCCAATAGGGAGGGTCACATGCCCAATTATTGTTTTTCACTGTTAAACCTTAACTTCTCATGAAAAAAATGATATATTTGTTATGTTTTTTTAAAAGCAATAAATTTAATTTCTAGCAGATTTAAATCCTGCGTTCTTTTTGAAACACCTTTTATGTAAATGATTATACACGATGTGAAGTACGGCAAAAGGATAATAACGGTTCTTTGCGAACCAATCGGTACGACAATATTGTTAATAATCATAGTAAAAGGGCGATTACTAATTGTATTTATTCATTTTATCTCACGTCTACATTTCTGCGTATTAGTTTCATTCAGTAAAATCTTTTTTTTTCACAAACTCAATGTCCAAATTGTAAAATGTTGGCCGAAAATTAAATCAAACGAAAACACGTGATGTTTAAGTTGTGGAACACGATTAAATTTATGAAATATGCAATTGCTTTATATTTACTCTCAATGAAATTAATATAGTACATACCTACTTATTTTTATGTCACAAGAAGTTGATTAAAACATCGTAAATAGAGCTATTACGTCATTTATGGATGAGTTATTAATTTTCAAAGATTTTATAGAGAATTATTGACGAAATAACTTGTTAGGTATATTTCATTTGAGTTTATTTTCACTAAAATAATATTCCAATAATAATATTCATCATATTCCAATAAGGTTTAACTAAGGTTTAGATTTATAAATAATTATTACATTAATAGTATAGCAAGTATAAAGTTTATAATATTTCGTGTATGAAATAATGTACGTCACATATTTTTATTACATTGAGTTTTACATTATGAAATTTCGACATACAATAATTTATTTTATTATGCTACCTACAGGTTTGGTAGAACATGAACAGTGCATAATTATACAACTAAAATGGTTTGAACAATCAAAACGGTTTTATCGATAACTATAGAAATCAATAAACACATCATATTTGTATATCATATTATATCAAAATTACCCTTATATGAATTATAATAATATGTTTTAGGGTCTTAAAGTAACCATGGTAATAGGCGCTGCTGGCACATGTCTGGGTGCATGGTTAAAGGTATTTTCGGCTGTGCCAGGTCGATTTCTAATAACGTTGCTAGGACAAGGTCTGGTGGCATGCTCTCAAGCATTCATCTTGAGTTTACCATCAAGGTTAGCCGCGGTATGGTTTGGATCTACTGAAGTCTCCACAGCATGTTCCTTAGGAGTTTTTGGCAATCAGGTTAGCCTATAATAATATATAATACCTATGATTGTTTATAAGTATGAAATATTATACATGTAAAAATTTAGTAAAACATTTTTGTAATTCCTCCATAAAACGTGATAATAGGTAGGTAGGTAATTGTAGTACCACTCGAGCTAGTACAATATACTTAGTAACTAAACAAATAAAATTATAAATAAAATACAAAACTGGTAGTTTAAGTTATAAATTATTACCTATATCACTAATAGTTTTCATTAATTATATTATACACTGCCTATTGTATATAAAAATAATGAAAAATACTTCATTAATTATAATTTTCTATATTTTTTACTTATTGATATTATTAAGTTTTCTTATATTATATAATAGATAAAATATCGTAAATACAGTACTTTTTTTTTCATTCAATAATTTTCATGTATTTTAAAATGCACAGTTATTTATTCCATTTATGAATCGATTCCCCAGTTTTAATTATGAAAAGCTATAATAATTTTAAAATCATTGTACTCTATTATGTTATAAATTATATCTTTCGATATTTTTGAAATTTTAGAACTAAACTCTAAAATTAACAGCTTTTTTAAATAAATAAATGCTATAATATTATTGCATTTTGATTTCTATTTCCTAACCCATGTTCCTTAATAGAAAAATTGTGAAAAACTAATCAATAATTTGATATGCAATAATAATAATTAGTAAATGGCAAATTAATAAACAAAAAAAATCGTACTTAATATTTTAATATTATTAGTGTTAATAAGTTTAGTAATAGTTATACTAAAATAATTATTCGTTCAGCTCTATAACAAAAAAAAAAAAAAAACAAAAAAATACTAGCTTGTCCAATTCATCAGCTTGACAAGTAATAAAAAAATAATTTATTTCATTTAGATCCTTAAAAAAGGAATGATTAAATTTTTATATTAATAAAAACAACATCCTTGAAACCTTTTAAATAAATAATATGTTTTGTCGAAAAAATGTAATTGTTTTGATTGTTTTGATTTAAGAAATCACAGATATTAAAGTTTGCTTTTCATCACAACAATAACCATAATATGTCAGAATATATAAGGTATTTAAAAAACACAATTGAGTAGGCACTCAATTGACTACCACTTTTAATAAAAAATATGTTAATATGTCACGTTTCAAAAATAGAGAATACCTAGTTCTTACATTTATTATAATAATTATTAACTTATTAATTAATAATAATATATTATTAAATTTAATGTACAATTGATATACTTTATATTGTGTCAACTGTCGAACTTCAAAAAAATTTTAAAAAACAAATTCCTACGATTACAATTACACATTACACATTACAAAGTAATTATTCTGCTGAATTTTATACATTTTAATTACTATACCTAAAGTATTATTATTTTTTAAACCAACGGGGTATCGATAATTAACATAATATATCAAATACTATTATGGCTGCGAATAAAATAAATAGTTTGTTATTTTATAGTTAAAAACGTAAACCAACCTACTACAAGTTGAAAAAAAAAAAGCTTCCGACATAAATACATATTTTATATTATTGTGAATCTTTGATATATCTATATAAGAAAAATAACATCCTGTTTATCTAAGTTTGTAAGAATTAAATCAATTTTAAATTTAAAATATATATCTAACGCACGTTATTTCCTCAACTTTACTATATTATCTTCCGTTGTATTATGTAGTACTATTTCCATAAAAGAACCTTTGACAGGATGCTACCAATATTCATAATTTATGTTAACGACAATGCCCTCGTAACGATAACATTGTATGATACCAGGTTAAATTAGGTTCATTTATATCAAGTCATAGATAGGGGGACAACATTTATAGAAAAAAAAAGTCCCTAGCAACTATAAATATATTATAGGGATTGTAGGCTTCCAACGTTATCCGTAACAGTCATTGGTAATTGAGCATAAAGTAAAAAGCAATACATTTGTAATTAATGTATGTTTAGTTGCGTATACTTAGACTTAGGCGTGTTTAGGGATGAGTGGAGTAGGGAAATAAAATAATATTATTTTTATGTGTTGAGTAAATAATAATAACCCAAACATATAATTTAATATTGTATTTGTTTATACGTAATAGTTATAGTATTACGTTTGGCTGTTTGATAAAAATATTGAAATTTGACGACCATTCACAGTGGTTCAGAACTTAAAAAAGCGAGACAAAATTGTGTGATTTTTTTTTTTAAAAATAAATAATGTTTTTTAGAAAATTTCAGCTTTATTCGAAATAATAATATTAAACAATTAAATATATTGTTATTATTATTCTAACTCCATTGCGGCAGCTACTCCTTGACCATCAAGATCTTCGTATTCTTTTTCTTCATTTCCAATATTTCCATCATAATTTTCTTTCATTAATTGTTTTATTAAAATTATTTATGGCTATATGGCTATCAACTACAACTTTTTGATCGTCGTCATTAAATTTCTGTTTATTCTCTGACTGTCCAGATTACCCATCACGTTTATTTATGTATTAAAATATAATTTTGGTTTTCTAAAATTAAGTTTGTGGAATTATCAATCGATAAAAATATACAAAATGCAGTATGGCTTGAATAAGGCTTGAAATCATTGGTCGAATTGGGAAAAATTAAGTAAAGGAGCTCAGTCCAACGATTTAAAAACTGCGTTCCACGTGCGGAATTGTTTAACACAGACACGTGGGGGTTTTATCTATAACCATGCTGCGTACTCACTAGTCGATCGAACGTTATTTCGGCTAACATAAGTTGGGTACTGATAAGTGATAATACTAGCGGAGCTCAACGTAATAATAAACGAATATCAAAACTATTTTTGATATTATAAATCATAATATTCGTTATAAAATTGACGTAAATTGAAATTCACAATTTAATATAAATTATTTAGGACATAAGTTATGATGAAGATGGTCCCCCCCTATTCCAGTGAAAAAATATAATTACAGTACGCAAAAAAAAAAATAGTAGAGGAGCTGTGCTACCTACGAGCATTGCTTGAAATTCTTCTTCTTCTTTGAAATTCAGCTATTTATACTATTATTTACGGAATAACATAAAGTCTTAGCTTCTAAAATTCTATTATTCGTCGAATAAATATTAGCATTCTTTAGTTTTGAATTTAATCTAATAATGTATTGCGATGTAGTGGCAAATTAATAAAATAATATTACTGGAAAAAGTAAATTCATTTACACAGTGACGGTGCTAGAGTTTGCGAGATCCTGGGCAAAATAAATGTTGGGTCTTATAATTTATATTAATAAAATATTTTAAGTTTAGTTAAATCAGAATCACGGGGCCTTAATTATAATTTAAAGCGCAGGGCCCTGATCAACTGCCCCTATTGCTCACTCCTTCGCGCCGTCCCTGCATCTACACATAAAAAACTTTTTAAATATTTGTCCTTCTAAATTTGGTTTTAGTGCTCACTTTAGAAAACTTAGTTGTCGGATGCCCTACGTTCGAGCACATACTATTCGAATAAAAAACGGAAACCTCAAAATTCTTATCTAATCAAAAGCCGTAAATATTTCTAACGTTTTTAAAATTAATTTTGAAAAACTTATACTGATTTTCAAAGTTCAAATTATTTTCCTTTCTATAAAAATTGATGTCTTTAAGTTTATTTTTAACAAACTTAAGATAGTATCAATATTAAAATTATTTTTGGATTTCAATTCTAAGATTTAGGCATACAAATGTTTACAAAGAAGTATGTGTAACATACTACGAACGGCTAAAATAAAAAAATAAATACTGAAATTATAGAAAAAATACTTAGGTTATACATAAATATTGAACAAAAACTTAATTTTGAAAAAAAAGTTGCAAGTAATTGCAACTAGAAATTACTGAGTTAGAACTAATTTTATAATAATATGTAATTAAATTTGTAACGCTATACTAGGCTACTTTTTTTAAAACTCATTATACATTTTAACATTTTAATTTTTAATAAAAATTACTTGAGTGTATTAAAACAATTTATTTATAGTAAATATATCATTAAAATGTGGGCACTTATTTTTTTCTTAAAGCTTACCTATAGGTTTTATTGATTTACCAAATATAATTGTGAAAACTAAGAAAACGTTCTAACTGAACATGAACAACAAATTAGTACAAGTATACGAAAAATTTATTATCTTATTAAATTTAGCACTCAATGATAATATATTTTGTTGAAGAGCAGTACTAAAGAGTAGATTCCTATGCGTTGTTAAAATAAGTAATTTATTAGTATATTGACGCCCCAGTTTAAAATTCAACGACTTAGGAAAAATGTATTCATTATATATATATATATATATATATATATATATATATATACATGAATGTATTATGTAATCATAAATTAACCATTATTCTCGGAAGATTATTTAAATCACAGGTTCCCAAAGTGGTTTATATCGACCCCCTGGGGTCGATTCGGATCTGTAAAGGGTCTATGTCAAAAAAATTGGGGGTGCATCATGTGTAAATAGGGGTTCACGAGAGTTATAAGTCAAAAATGTGTGTCGTCATTTTTACGAAAAATATGTGTGCTAGAAGAACTTACAAGAAGAACTGATCGGAATAAGTACTATGATGAACTTAAGGTACAATTTAGATACTGCTGTATCACCAGTTCTGGCTTTAGACATACCTATTACTTTTCCTGCTTTATGGAGAATCGCAAGAAAGTTTTTGATTGATTTTCCGTCATCATACTACGCGAAAAAAGATTCCAGCACAATTGTCAATCTTCTTATAAAAAAAAAGAAATAGATTGGAAATTACTGTTAGAGGAGATTTGAGGTTAAACCTGACTAATTTGAAGCGAAATATTGAAAATGTACTATCAAAGCATTAGACTTATCCTTCCCATTAAAGATACATTTTTTTAACACCAATCTTGTTTTTTTTTATTCTATGTTATTATATTTAATTTGCATTTTTTATCTTATTAATTACTAAAAAATTGATTTTAATATTTTCTTTATTATAGAAATAAAGGTCTTATTAAAAATAACACGTTTTTTTATTTAAAAAAAAAGCATTCCATTATAAAGCTTATTCAGGTGAGCAGTTCCATCTAAGTTATGAAAAACACTTGATGAGTTTGTGAGCATTTAATTTTAGGGGTCTACGAAAATGGAAAAAATTGGCACGTGATCTACGGAGAAAAAAATTTGGGAACCTCTGATTTAAATATTATCTTTACGTCTCAAAAACGTTATTACTAAAGGCGTTTTATAATATTAGAGCTTTAAAATCATTTATCACCAATAAATGTTTTTTTTTTTTTTAATTATTACAGTTTTTAACTGAGGTGTCAATATTATAATAACATCAAGAATCATAATGGTATAGAAAGTATAAGGTAAGTTATATTTTACACTCAAATTAGTAAGAAAATACATGTACATAATTCGAGAAAAAAAAGCTAACAAAAAGAGTATTTATACAAAAAAATAAAAGTAAAAATTACAACACTCATCCCTAACCAGACCCTAATTACGTCACTGCTTCTTATATTAATATAAGATGTGAATAACATATCAATCTTCATTCAATAATTCAAATAATTCAATGAACTATCAAAGTGTGATTTAATGTAGTATATTACCTCAATTCTAATACTAAAGACTTGAACTTCCAATATTCAATGTATATTATTGGAATTTATATTAAATCAATACCATACTTTTGTATATTTAATATCTTTTAAAAATTAATTTAATTATATTTTTCAAATAATCTCGGTTTAAAAAGAAATAATTATAACATCTTAAATTAAAATCTTGTTTTTTTCAATAACATAGGATTGATGAAATAACCAAATAATAACAATAACTATGTGTTATCAAATCGTTCAACTTATCTTAACCGACTTTAGCACCACTTAGTAGAAATAAATAAACATATTTAATGTACGTTAATGTGAACAATAGTTCATCATAATTATTACATTTTTTCAGGTCTTCCCAATTTAATTTTGAGTCTTTACATTATAAATTTATAAGTGTAAAACTTAATACGCTGAGCCAGAGTAAAGTGTTGATTTTAAAATCAATAGTAGTTTTAACAAATGAGTTTTTTTTTTTTTTTATTAGAGATAAAAATTGATTTAATTCGTAACATGATGATAACAATGCATACAACTTACGAGTTAAATCCTATTCAACCAAAAAAATTTAATTAAAATCATATTTCTTTATTTCCCTATTCAAAATCTATAAAAAATAAAATGCATACAGATACGTACCTATCGGTTTAAAAAGTACCTACGTTAATTATTGAAGAGTTGTTTTTATTGTTTAGTTGAAATAATTACACCTGATACGGACATTATGCTATATGTCTATGTTTATCCATTAATAAATTTAACATACTTAAAACTATGGCAGAGAGTTATTACTGTACAAGCAATTATATAATAATTACATTAGCAAATATTTTTAATTTTATCAATAACAAACATTAAATTACATAAAACATATTATTTGTATTTATTTATGAAAATTATAAATATGTTGTATACTTAAATGTATTACTTAATAGTATGTTTTCTTAATATAGATGCACGAATCATTTTATTTATATTTATTTAAAACACATTCAATCAACCAATGGATTTTCCAGAAAATATGAATTTTGAATGATTAATGAAAATAATTTTCCGTTGAATATGGATTCGAATTTATAATATATTTACAATATTATTATTAATTTCTCATCAGATCGATATTAAACTATAATATATAAATATATCATAATAAAATTTAATATTTAATGAGTTGTCATTTTTCAGCTAGGAGCAGCACTTGGGTTTTTAATACCACCAATGATTGTACACGATAGTGATAACCTAGAAGACATAGGAAATGATTTATGGAAAATGTTTGTTTCCTTTGCTATTGTGAACACCGTAGTATTCTTTTTGGTTGCTTGGTGTAAGTATCCACAGAAACTTAAAATTCGTCAAAAAAAAAAAAAAATATATATAAAATAACAGTTATAAAATATTTAAACATATATACTCATTTCATTTTATATAATGAACTGTTAGTTTAAGTTGTTGATGAACTATTCAAATATAAAATAGTTTGTGATTTATTTTACATTTACTATGAGTTTAACAATATTATAGCTATACAAGCCGAACCGTTAATGGCACCAAGTTATGCCCAAGTAGTACAAAGGAAAAAAAGAGATGATCCAGAAATATTAAAAGACGTATTCATGAGCTCAGTCAATGAGTTGCTAAAAAACAACGGTTACATTTTATTGTTGATATCTTACGGTATTAACGTAGGCGCCTTTTTTGCTATATCGACGCTGCTTAATCAATTTATTTTGCTCTACTTTCCGGTATGTAAACCAAAATCAAAAAATATAATACAAATACATTGACTATTTTGATTCAGGGCCACGAAGAAGACGTTGGACGAATTGGTCTTACATTAGTATTATGTGGCTTAGGAGGTTCGATTATTTGTGGTTACATTCTGGATAAAACACATCTATATAAGTAAGTTACACTTATTATTTATATTAGCAAATATAAATATGAGTTTCTAATGTTATAAGACTTATAAGTTCCCAATTTATAGAAATTATTAGATGATCGTTAACCAACGGTTTATTTCTGTACCTTGGAAGAATGACAGTCTACATAACCACTTCACTGGAACGTGATTTAACTTATTAAATTCATGGTCAGAATATTATAAAATAGACTATCTATAATTACTGAATTACATGTGGAATAAACATGTAAACACCATAAACAATAATTGTACTCCAATCAACAGATGAATTTTAATTTTCATCTAATATTTTATTATCGCTAGTCCAAAGTCTGTAATATGTACACACATTCATTTTTACAAGGTCAAGATCAAAATTCCACGTGATTGAAGTTTTGCGGTAATAATATAAATACCAAATTACACAAGTCACAAGTTGTCTTTAAAAGACATTAACCTGATACTTTTAATACATTTCAGTCATGTGTACTTAATTAAAATCAATAATACATAAATCTTAAGAACATTGTTATAAGTAAATGAGTAGAAACTAATAGAACCTATAGATATTGACTATCGCTAAACCTGATCACAACCAATTATTATTTTTATTATTATTAAATATAATGAACTAATAAAATATCACTACATTTAAAATAATAATAAATTCCATTATAAATATTGAAACTTTTAAAAATTAATATGAAAAATAAATTATGATATTAGTAATCATTATAATAAATAATAAAACGAATGCAATTTTAATTGTAAACCTAAACATTACTTGAATGCAAAAATATTTTAATATAAGCAACGAGGTTGATAATAAACTCAATAGATTAAGTACAAACTTCAGTTAAGTTTTAAAACATGATACATTATTATTCGTATTTATAACGCGAACGAATTATAATATGTAAGAATACGTCATGTTACGTGTACGATTTACATTGAATACTTGTATGTTCTTTTCAATAATTTTAACGTGTAACACTTAAACTACAACATACTAAATCATATTTATCCTTTTGAATACCTACCATACCTCACTAATACGAGCACATTATCACTTCACCAGTGTTAAAAAACAGATAAAGTATACAATGTATAATATACATGTTGAAATGTTTTATTTATTTCTCGTGTAGACTTTTTCACAGACAAGCATTATAAATTGCTCGACATTTTTTTTCATAAAAAAAAAATCCAGAAAATAGTAAATAGAGATAATCTCTTAAATCAGTGGCAAGTTACCTTGTATATATCGTATACGTTTTCTAGAATTGAAATATATTTTAACGAACATACTTCTGAATACTAATACGAACCAGCTTAATTCAATATATAAATTACCATATAATATTGTATACTCGTTAGTTAATTTCAAAAATCATTATAAGGATTAGTTGAAAAGATAACCCTCCAGAAAAGTATTAGGATAATTTGGAAATTCAGTTACCATCTCCCTCACCTGGTCTGCGAGTTCTGTAATAACGACCAACGGTAACATTCGAATAATCCAATATTTTTCCACGCAGAGAAACAACACTCGTGGTATACGGCAGCACGTTGATCTCGATGCTGATCTACACGTTCAGCTTGTCGAACGGCCAGTCCATCTGGATCATATATATTACGGCTTCGTTGCTGGGGTGAGTTTGGAACGCACAGAGCGCGCTCTCGCAAACCATAGCGAATAATGAATGCATAGCATTATGAAACCGTTTTCCCCTGTGCACGTATAGGTTGTTCATGACAGGGTACCTGCCGGTGGGCTATGAGCTGGCCATAGAGCTGACATATCCGATCCCTGAGGGCACATCCAGCGGACTCCTGAACGGTGGCACGCAACTGATCGGCTTCATACTGACGTCTATCTACAGCTGGGTGTTCAGCACGATGGGTGACCTGCCAGCCAACATGATGATCGTCGGACTGTTGATATTTGGCTTCGTGTTGACCATATTCATACCGACCAACCTGAAGAGACAAACTGCCCACAAGGCGATCGACGACAAACATAATTTGGGACTTGGACTCTGAAACGGTATATATATATATATATATATTATATGTATATATATATAATATACAGATAATACATATATAATATACACAAAATACACGCGCATACGCATAGGTATATTGAACATTGTAAATGCGTCCATAGCCCGGCAGCTGAGTATATCGTGTATGATTTTCAATATTGTATACGATTTTTTTCTTTCTCTCTATCCTCTTGTCATCGGATTCCTTTACTGATGTATTTTATATTTTATAAATATATATATATATTTTTTTTTTTTATTAATTTTTTTCCCTAGTTCAGTTAATAACATTGTGTATATATTATATATTATATTATTATAAAATGTACACATATAAACGATGAATTTACGGATAATATAAAAGCCATCACGGTGGTCTCTACGAAATTCGTCGACTTTATCATGATAATTTATCATGTGGGAAACGTTCTGTATACAAAGCCACGAAATAATGTTCAGGCTCTTTGCCCCATCATTGAAGGCATACATAGGTACTTGTGGATAAACGTATCCATAACATTATTTTCGGTCACTCCATTATCCCTTCTTTCTCTTCGTTGCCCGACTAGAATATATGTATACCTTATCCTGCATACAGTTGAATCAAACAAAAATAGTATTACCAATCCACATTCTTTTCATCGTTTTTATTTTGATAATCTACGAACCGGTTTTCAATAACTCGGGAGGCTGGATAAGCGTTATTAAAAACGTTGCATCAGTACATCGAAAAGTATTTGATTTTTTTCAAAAACAGGTATAATATAATATGTATAGATGTATATTGAATATTTTAGTAAACCCAAACTCTACATCTTATACCAACACAGCGATAGTATGAGACTTTGGAGAATTTACGACTATAACACAAGACCATATGTGCATGCTAGTGTGCACTAGACCTTCCCACTGTCCTTATGTAAACTTAACATGCATCATACATATATGTATATGCAGTATGCATATGATTATACATCACTAAATAATCCGCTTGTTACGATGATACTCTAATCTTTTCAAAACCGACTGTTTTTATTTTAAGTTATAACAAATGCAGGAAATATTTCCAAGAATGTGTTTACATACAACATCTAAATGTATTTTTTATTATATAATATAATGAAACTAATCCACTAATTCCAAACATTTTGGATTTCAAAAGAGAAATAGAAAAATAATTATATTTTACTTGTGCCTAATTGAAATACATTTTGCTCATCAAAACTCTTAACACTTAAAACATTAAATCGATTACGTAGTTAACACACATGCACCAATAAATATTTTGAATCAAAGTGTGATAAATAAATAAAAATATATGAATCAATAGCTTATTTAATTGTACAATGTACCTTGCAAAGTAATTAAAAATACATTGCACAGTACTAATATAAAAATAATACCAAATATTTTTTGTATAGAATATTTGTTAACCAAACCGTTATAAGTGTAATAAATATTTAAATAGATGAATGTAAAACTCAAATACATTATTAATGAATTCAGACGCCTTTACACTATATCGTGTTAATCCTAAAATTATCGTTTCGTGTTAAAATGAATCGTTTTTATTGGTTATTTTGTTTGGTTTTAAAATTTTAATTTTAAGTTTGTTTTTTTTTGTATTGTTATTTATAATTTATTATATTTGTAATAATATTTTATTTTATTTTTATTGTTATGACGACATTATAGGAAATATTACGTCATTATATTCGCAAACTTACTAGGCAGCCCTATTTTTCATAAAAATTCATACTACACATTTTTAATGTACATTGATATAATAGTGAGCCCCCCCTCTACTCCTCCATATGATTGTAATTTAGTACAATGTCAGTAATAATTTTTAGTAAATTCTTTTTTATTAATAAGATTGCAAATTATAATTAGGTAACTTATACCTTTTGTTTGGTATAAATTTGAAAACTATTTACAAATTATTTATTTTAATGTGGGATGTATAATTTAAAATTTAATAGGTAGTTACCTATACATAAGTCCTCATCAACTGTCAGCTTAAACTGGGTCCTGAAAAAACACCTCTATGGTAGTCTTATTTATTACTACTTAGTAGGTACACACTAGTAGTGCATACTTTGAATTTCAGACTACATACTTAGTGTCAGGGTTCATTTAAAAAAGGGGGCTGCTACTAGGTACCATTTTATCGAGATAACACAATTAATTTTAAATTCAACCAATACAACATTTTTTATAGGAAACAAAAATAAATAAATAAAAACGTAAAATTGACAAAATATGTTTAAAGAACTCGGTTACTTGGAAATTAAAATATATATCTATTATATTTACATATAAGATTTGAGAAAAACTTGGATTTTTTAAATTTATATTTCGTATATGCTAATATTCAAATACCTTGATAATTCAAAATATTCAGATTTTCAGATCTGTATTTTATATTTTTATAAACCAACAAAACCTATTATTCAACTTAATTAATATTTATCATGAAATCACTTTTATATATATAGGTATGTACTTAATGTTTATAATTCTTTGTTCATTTTACATAAAACATAATTATATCAATTTATTTAAAATTTAAACTTTAAGTTTTAACATACTGTACAGTAAGTTTAGACAAATATCTAAGTAGGTACTACATCTTTTATATATTTTATTTCAATAGGGTTATTAATTTTTTATTTTTTTTAGTTTTGACCAATGATTTAATAACATGTTTTTGTTTTTAACTGGGGTATTTTTTTTTTTTATTATTATATTATAGGCTATATTACCATTAGACAATTTTACTCATTCTTGCTTATTATTTTTGTCAAATAAACTATTGTATTATTAACTAAAAATATAAGGTTTTATCCATACAGCCCTGTAATTATGATAAACATTTCCGATGGTTATTTTATACTTCGCTTGTAAACCAAACCATTCTTTGTTTGTCTATCCATCTCTTTTAGTTCTAATGACATAAATTCTGAACACATAATTACTTATATTAGGTTTTTAAAATTAATAGTTTCTGGCTAAAGTATAAAACGATTGTAGCAAAAATCAAAATTTGAATAACTGCCAAATCGTTATTATTATTTCGTTGTAAAAACATCCACATTCTATTTTGGTATATCAACTGTATAAACCACTTGTTGAAACATCTTTGAAATTGTAAGTGCAGTTAGCAAGTTCTACTATACACAATGCACTAACAAGATCAACTAAGAATAAAAAATTGTTACAATTGAATGCATTAAAAACATTATAATTTTTCCGGAAAAAAAATGGATCAAAATTGAAATTTCAAATTTTGTACTGTTTGATACACAATACATACAAAATATTAAATAGGTTTTCATTGTACTTCTATCTAACGTTAAACAGAATAAAAAAAATTATTATTGAATTTTGTACCTACTAGATTTTTTTTAAAAATACTATAGAAAAATTAATTTTTAACTATGGTAGTGTAACACGCACGATGTATATAACTAGTTACTGTTTTATGTTCTGTTACGATTGACTATTGGTAATTTAGTACTTCTCTATTTGTATTAACAACGAATAGGTATTTATTTTATTTTATTAACTGTATTCTCAAATATAACCATTTCATAATTTTGTATAAATTATAAATTTTTATTTTATAGTTTGGATGGTTACACAATACAATATGTACATCGTAATAAAACGATTATATTTGAAATATTCAAAATATTCTTAATGATAGTTATTTTGACAATTTCAGTCCGTGATCATTTCAATACCATCATGTTGCAGTATTATGTATTTTAAAGTTGATAACAACTTTGCTCTTATCAAAAATGACTCCAAACTTGAGAAAAGACAGTGTTAAACAATCACGCCACTTCACATTTTTTCATTTTTTTTTCACATTTTTTTAACAGAAAAATCTTTAAAAACATAGGTATTGTGTACCTAATTACGTAGCCACTGAAGTAATTTAAGATAAAAACAGTATTATATGATAATATTTAAAAAAAAAATTAAATAATTATTATATTTTATTTTTTATTCACTTTATTTTACTTTAACTCATACTTAATCAAATTTAAACTACATTGTCGAGAATTTACAACCAAATATTACTAATTATATAATTTTACATTACAAATTCAGATTAGGTTCTCCTATATCACCAATTAGAGGTTTCCTCAGTAGTGCACAAGATCAAAATTATTGTTAAAAGGAAAAAAAATGTAATAATTATAACTTAGCCGAAAAAATTAATTGTTATTATTATTAACCCACGATTCGAGAGCAATCTATTTAATTATATTAGTGCAATTAGTTATATTACATATTAGTTCTACATCTAATAACATTGATTCATTTAACAATAAAATAACATAATATTATAATGATAGTTTATACAGTCATGATAAATAAAAATTTAAAAATCACACTTTAAATCAAATTATATATTATTAATTTTTCAAATACTCGCAAATTAAACGTAAAACGATTATTTTTTCAACAGTGTGATTGAAAGTTGTACTTTTTAAATATTATTGTATAATTTTAGAATAATCACCATGAGATAATTATAATGTAATATACTTCTGTGTACATAAAAGTATCTACTGAAAAGACACTGAATAATATTTCTCACTGTTATTAATTTTATTAATTTTTTAAAAGCGTTAGTACGTAAACAATACGTACACTGTTATGTTTGGCCCAAATAATATTATAAATAATATATCTTTAATCTCTATATGTATACAAATACACATAAAATGTTACATGGTTGCTCTTACAATTAGTTATTTGATAACAATACAACTATTCCAATTATAGTTCGTTCAGTTTAAAGATTACAAATAAATAGAACGGTAAAATTAAGTTAAAATTACAAAAACTGATGAATGGTAATATTGAATTGAAAATTAAAAATGTATAATATCATATAATAGCAGTCTTATTCTTATATAATGTTTAATAAAATCATAGGTAAAATTATTTATAATAAACATAAAACATTTTGAGAGTTAGCATATTATATTAAAATACTTGACTTTACTTTATACTAAAATTTATACTTTTTATTTTGACGTTTTTTTGAAAAGGTATCTAATCGTATAACCCATTTCGCAATTAAATTCTATAATTAAAGGTTTAATTAATTAATTGCTAATTAAATTAGTTAACTCAGTTGATATGGTATTAACCTATAACAATTCGTTTATTTTACATTATTAATTATAATATATAAGTACAATAAAACATAGGTACTTATGTTATTCAATATTTTCCAACAACCATTATAGGTAGGAAAACTCTTTTCGAGAATTTAACAATTTCGCAATAACAATTCAGAACAATTAGTTATTAAACATTTAAAATTACACTAAAAGGTGATATTTATAAATAAAACATAAATTAATAAAAAATATTTCCTACATAATATTCAATTATTATTAATAGTTTTGATAAGTAAGTTTTTAGTACTTACAAGTTACATTATATAATTTATAATAGGGTAGTAGGGTAAAAATTAATTAAAGTAAATATTTATAACAACTACCTATGCTTAATTAAAAAAGTATTTTGAGTAACTGTTATATAACCAACCGATGGGAAACTGTTATAATATAAAATTTATTACTATAAAAATTATGATTTCAATAATATTTACCTACAACATAATTTTATACAGTCCCACTCCAAAACATGAAACTGTAAAATATTACCGAAGAGCAAAATTTTTAATTATTTCTATTACACAATAATATTATAAAATGTTGTTTCTGTATATTTAATTTAATTTTTCAATATTTTACTATTTGCCAGACTAATACAAAATAATGTATGATATGTATTATGTGTATATGTATTATATGTATATGATAATAACGATTTTTTGTCTTAGCCGACGTCGTGTATATATATTATTTATGCGTTTATAATAATTATTAATTCAGTTTCTCGTTCAGCTTGATATAATAAAACGTGCAATAATGCATGTAGTTTAGAAATTATCACAAATCTGGAAAAACACTAGTAACATAAAACTTACAGCTAATTGGCTACAGCGCGTTTTTATTAAGATCGGATGTTCTTATTTAATTTCGGTTACTTACGGACGTGACATTTTGGAATTTTAAATACTCATTTGTAAATCTAAAAACATACCTGTCAAATATTTTCAAATCTTTGATATATCGTATACAATATTATACATTATATTGTTATCAAACAATGTCTATAATGAACGTTATAGAATTTTTTACTACGCTTTTGCATATGGGATCGTCTACGCCCTACGATATATTTGATAATATGAAATCAAAAAAAATTGTATACAACCAAGTAGTTAATATCATTCGCATACAAGTTTTTTCTTTCAGGATGAGCTTGCAACTTTTATAGCTTTTATGCTTACCATTGTTACATGTTTAATTTTGTTTTTGTTGTATAATCCTATTATAATTATTATAGATCATATTACTGTACTATTTTGCTCAATATTTATGGTCACATTCACTATGACATTAATTAATAATACAATTTTGGATTTGAGCAAAACGAAGTTTAAATTTGTTTAACAATGATGATTATTTTCTATGATTAATTTTTTCACCTACCGATTCTATCCCAAAAGTACCATCTAGTATTTCATTACAACAGATATAAATTAGACGCCGATGTTAATATTATCGCCTAACTCACAATTTGCGTCGTCAGGATCTGTTTTCTATAATCGTGCAATAACTGCAACGAAACCAATATCGTAAAAATTGAAAATGCATAGCGAGTGGGATTATTACTCAACGAGCACAACAAAAAGTGTGCCAATCAGTATTTCATATGTGTATAAGCTACGCAGAGGTATTATTTAACGACGCGTGTAATCATGTATGAAAAAAATTACGTGGGAGCTGATAATGAATTACTTCTTTTCTGAGATTCAAAAATTATCATCGTCGCATTATCCTTAATATAAAATGTAAACTATTACCTATAATACAAATTAATAATTGCAAATAATCAATTCAGACATTATTATATATTTAAAATGTAATTTATATATATACACATGTTATATACTTTTTTTTATATTTTACATATGTTATATATTTATATAAGAAATTAATCAAGGACAAATTATTAACTATGTATAATTTTTTTTTATCTACAATTTTATTGTACTTGTATATTTTAATTTCTTATATTACATAGCATACTTATACTTGCAAAACATTAGTTTTTATGAAAATATTATATTATATAACTGATAATGTTTTTTAAGAATTACTTTTTATAATACTAACATTTATTTTTAAATAATAAAATAATAAAAGATTAAAATTAAAAATTATTAAATGATTAATACTCGTAAATTATTATACAAATAAATAAATAAAATCAGAGCCTGAAATATTATTATATTTATAAAGTACGAGTAGTTTAAAATTAAAAACTAATCATCCCATTAACGTGTAAACAAAATTATAAAAAAAATAATCATAAATATTAAAAATTTAATTGTTTGAAATATACTCGTAAAATACTATATTATTAGTTTCTACTCAAACATCCATTTATTAAACTGATATAATTATCAGTTATAACCAAAAAAAATTTATGATAGTTATATTATACACAAAATTATGATTTGCGCAATAAACATAAATACAATGTATGTATGACATATTAATTTTAAAAACTTTTAATATATTAACCATAGAAAAATTCTTTGTGATTTTGAAGAGAATGAAATATTAAAAATAAAATACGAGTACGTTGAAACATACAATATTGGAAATGTTTTCGAGTCCGTAGCATAGGAAATCGTCAATAACTGTCAATTCCACGCTCCTCGTAATCATCAAGGAAAAAAACTAACTATAAACGCTTCGAAAATCAATATTTGTACATCAAAACTGAAAAAATAAATATAATTATGTATGTACATATACGAGTAAATATTCTTAATACACATAATATATACATATACATATCTTGAATATAGAATTGAAAACGGTGCGAGACCGCGTCGAGGGAGAAAAAAAAATAAAACTCGGTGGAATAACTTTCCTCCAGATGTGTTTGCGGAAGAAGGCAACGCCGGCCGAGGTAAGGTACGATTTGGGTAGGTGCCCATGTTAAAAAGCTAACTCGTACCGTACTATTTTTGATGCTCGCGTTTGTGTTATATTCGTACATACATAAAATCATTAATTATTATCGGGTGAGCGTAATAAATCATTTTTGCCCGTGTGAACGACACCGCGGAGCGATTGTCGACATGTACGGCGGCCGGGCGCAAGCCACGCGCATCCCATCAAAGTTCGTCCAATCCCGAGGCTCGAATGCCGATCGGCAGACATGCGACGTCATCGACTCAACCGCCGCCGCTGAATGCAACGTCGAGCCGGCGAACCGGTTACAGTGTCGCACCACTGCCGCGGTCGTCACGAGTCGCTACGGACGCACGCCGTCATCTCCGTTGCAGCCAGTTGTAAGGACTAATCCGAAAAACGCGGGCACTCGCGCGTTGCTTGCACGGCACTGGGTTCGTATTCAAAATCCGTTGTTCCTCCGACCGATTTCGCCGGGCATTCGTTTGCGCGGAACACCCGAACAACACGACTCCGGAATTGGGAGAGCAAAGCTGTGCCGCCGTATCGTCTCCGGTGTCGATCATTACGCGTTACACGACCACATTAAACTAGTCGAGTATCCGCGAATAACAAATATTCAATCAAACACAGGTAAAAAAAAAAATTTTAAAAATTACACGTGCGTTTATTTATTACTGCTATTATACATCGTCACATATATTTACATACTTGTTTACGTACGCACGGAACGAACGTAAGATGCACTCGCGGCTTGCATGTTACAACATTATAATAGCACGTACTTATTATGTGGTAACACGACGGCGGCAAACGATTTCGGGCCAGACGTCTGTGAACGACGTATTATTTTTAGCGCGCCGCCACGCTAGCGTACCGCGGTACTGGCCGTCGACGAGCACGCGGGACCACGGTTACAATAGCATCGGCTGACGCCGCGCGCGATCGGGAAATTTCGAATACACTCGTCCGACGTATGAACTCGTCATGCTAGTCAACCGTTATTAACCATCGATCGTCCCACTCTCCATCCCGTCGCAAACACTATTTTTAAATCTACCGAATGCAATATGTGTATTATTAGCTAGTGTCTGAACAAAGCTTTTTCGAGTAACATTATTTAGAATAGTATAGATACGTAGTGTCATAACTTCACAGATCATGAAGTACTTGTGTTTTTTACATGTATTCAAACATAATAAATATCAATCGTCTCGAATGAAAAAGTATTTTTATTAAACTCGTAAATATGACAGAAGCGTGTTAAGAACAATGTGTTTAGTTAGAACGGTAGGCTCAGCTTCTATATAGGTAATTACTAAAGAATCTATTTACACCCCGTATAACTTTAGTGTACCCATAGCTACTGCTCCCTAAGGTCTTTGGACTTATGTTTATAGATATGGATTTACCTAGGTCAATGTTTTACAATGGTTTAAGGCGAATAATACACTAATATATAAAAATAAAAATAATTGTACTAATACAGAAACGATTAATAATAAATACAATGAATGAATGTCAAATTTTCAATAGAAATGATCAATTTATTTTAGTAATCACGAGTTTATATATCTTGAAGAGTTATAATACATATTACGTTTTCATATTATAAGACATATTTTATTATAATACTTCCACAATAATTTTCTTTGACGCAATGAAAATTACATAATAATAAAAATGTTGGAATAAAAAGATATGATTTTTAATTTTTTAATCTAACAATAATGTTCGGTCCTTCTTCCATAAAGATCTTATGACCAAAATCTTTCTTATTTTTTACAAAGGAATGGATGACTATTTCTGTCTTATCACTCCTCTCTTGTTTCTTGTTCTACCGATATTTAATTATTATTTATTCGTTAATTTATTGTGATTCTACTGTAATTTTAATTTTTACACAAAAATATTTTTTTCTGTATTCGTTTATTTTTTTATTCATGTTATTTTTCTTTGAACCTGACATTCTTGTCTAGTATTAAATATATTTTGAGGAGTTCATATGTTTGAATTTATAATATTAATATATATAATTCCAATCTCGAGCTTTTACGTCTTAATGTACAGACAATAAAAAAACTGTTACATAAAAATAAAAATAAATCATATCCCACTAACTCAATCTACTTATAAATATAATACATTAATCAAGTGACATTTTTAATTACTAATGGACATTTAAGCGCGTGTGTTAAAAATGAATAAAAATGGTTGATGTTCAAAAAGTTTGCATGCTTAAAGTCACTCAAAATATTCACGAGTAATTATCAAAAACATTAAAAAGTGACGTTTAACTAAATTTAAAAATAATTTTATAAAACGTGTAGAATAAAAACAAAAATTATACTTCCTATCTATTTAAATTACAAACAACAGCAGTACGAAAACATTCATCGACGTTGTTTTTTATAGTGTTTAATATATATTATTAAAACAGTGTTGATGTCTAAAAAACCAACATACCAAAATTAACTACCATCAAACACCAAAACGTATAATAGCTAATTTAATATAATTTGTAATTAATTGAAAAATAAATTATAATTATGAATTAATTTAGCGATTAAATTTAATTTTGATATTTAAGTATGTAATAACTAATTAAATTACTAGAGCTATTTGATTTTTTACTTATACATAAATGAAAATTTTATACTTATGTCATTATTTTATGTTATAATTGAAATAAAAAAAATACATACGATAAACTACCAAAAATATTCACGTGCTATTTCTAATCAAAAAAATATTGCTGACTGATATACTCGTATTGTCAAAATAAAAATTGATATTATCCATTTATTATTAATTTTTATACTTTCTTAAAATATTATCATGAGGTTTTTTCATTGATTATTACATTTTTACATTTTTTAGACATGGTTAGTTTTAAAATAATACTGAAAAATCATAAAATGTAATTTGAATATGGTTATAGTATTCAATCAAAATTAAAATTGCTGTGAATTATATTAGAAACATGATTTATTATTACTATGAAATAGATTTTATTAAGCATAAAATTCAATTTTTTTTATTACAATTATGAAACAGGAAATAAAAACAGTAGAAAGTGTACATTTTTAAAATAAAATAATATCTCAATTATTTTGAGTTCATTTTCATTCATTTAAAAACATGAATATAAAAATATTAATCCATTGCCATATATTTTGAATTAATGCTTACGTAATTTCTACTTCAGTTCCATGTTTGATCCTCTTTCTATGTATTTAGTATTTCTACGAGTATATTAGCTATAGTAATATAATGGATTAGCTTTAAAGATTTGTTCGTGTTTTTAAAATATATTAAATAATAGTTAATGTCATTAATGTAAAATTGATTTGTTATGTATATAGCTCATAGTTAATAGTTATATCATAAGTTATTCATCTTCAAGCTTATTATTTTGTTTTAAACCAATTTTTCATAAATGCTACACCGTAAAGTTATCTTTAAAAATATATAAAATACGTTTTATATAGTGATAATTGGTGGGCAAAAAAATTGAATCTATAACAAGTTTATTGATCCCAAAAGGTTTTGTATTAGAAAAATGTCACTTTTAAAGTAAATATTAATAAAATAATGTTATTAGTTTAACACAATACAAAAATTTAAATGTATTTAATATTTACAAATTGGAAGTTCCTGATTATTAATTTTATAGAAGCAAATTTGATTACATTGACCATACCTACGGAAATTCCTGCCATAAATATCAAATTAAAGGAAGGTCTTTTTTATAATACATATAATAACAATTTAAAAACCGTCAACAACCCACGTTCAACATTGAAGTGTTTGCATCCGTAAAAATTGAATCAAATTTGCAACTACTCCGCTAAATATTTTAAGGACCATATTTCCGTCTATTAATATACATCAGATGTTTGTTTGATAATTTAAGTTTTGATTATACTGCATTTAAGTAATAACCAACTGTACTTATTACTGTACTTATTAAAAAGAAAATTGATAATTCTAACCAGAACTTGGAATCAGAAATTATAAAGATACATCAATATCTACTTTTCTACAAGTCTTTAAATGTGCACTGTAATAAATGAATCAAATAAACTAGAATAAATAAAAACAAAAATTAAATTTGAAAATATTTAATATACATATTTATATTTAAAATAATGTAATTGCACAATATATTTTACAAAAAAAAAAAAAATTAAAAAATCTATACAATTTTAAAAATATCATACTACATAAAATAAACTATAAATCTCTTATATATATATTCTATCCTCATTAACACTTTACCATTAATATACAATCTTTTATTGAAAACGTAAATTTTCCAATTTGTAAATTTGAATTGTTTTATATTGAATATTTTATTAATTCTATACAAAATATTTGATATCAACTTATAAAATTAATCGATTGCTTTTTAACTAAAGAATTATTGTACATTTTCCGTTGTCCTAATTTACAATATTCCTTGTGTCAAAGGGATAGCCCTTAAAAGGGCTTTTTTCCAATATTTCGTGAGACATTTGGGTTACAGCGAACCGTAATGCTGTTTCGTTTTGTGAAGACATTGTTAGGTCACAATGTTAAGTCTGAAATGTAATACTCACAGGGGAGACCACTAAAAGATATAACACCACCTACCTCATTTCTTGTGTAATTAGTATCTACTATGCAAAAACTGAGTATGCTTCCGGCCTCAGGGCTAGACATTTTCCAATAGTTTCACGGTCTCTGGATCCATTCTTTAATAAACAACTGATATACATTTTATAATACTTTAAAATTATTTTTTGATAATTGCTGTTGATAGGTATATAGTAAAAAATATTTTATATTAAAAAAATACTTTCATATTTTAACATTTTTTTGGTAAACAGCAAAAATAAACTATTTTTGAATAAACTATTCAAGCACACTAGTTGACCCTCAACAGTTCCAAATACCTATACGACGCGCATACGAAGTTCATATTATCGATTTTAAATTATATACAACATCAATACAAAATAATTCTCAGTGCTTAATAAAATAATCTTTATGCGTTCGAGGTCAAAAACGTACAATTTAAAACTGCAGAAGATGTCACGCGATGGTTCAATTTACAAATTAAAAGTCGCCATTGGTTAACTGAAGTAGGTATCTACGGACTACGTTGTTTATACACTTCATCAGCACACTTAAAAATACTAAATATTTGTGTTACACACTTAAATTGTTATTTTTTAGGTACATGTTTTTTTTTTATGATAAAATATAATTTTGTACAATTTTTCTGTTATAGTGTGTATAAAATAGTTAATATATACCCAATCTGTATAATTTTAGGTACTAGATACTTATATGCACCTTGGTAAATTAATTTTTCCGACAAAATAAGGGTAACTTCAGATTAAATGTCATATTATACTACTCAAATATGGTGATAGGTATATGAGTATGGTAAAAAACAACCTATAGGTTCTATAACCTTATAATAATGCAGACATTTCAACATCATAACAAAGCAAATATTTTATATTGAACAAATAGTTCTAACTATAAAAACCATCACATTATTATCCCAATAATAGCAACAACGAATTCACATTAGTTTTTTTTTTTTAATTTATTAAATTAAAACTTCCTAACTTTTGATGCCTACATTTATAATAAAATACTTTTCTTTTTTTTTTCTTGTAATATGTGATTATGTTGCATATTGTTATCAATTACAATTTTTTCAAAATAAATCAAAATATCAAGTAAATACTTATAAACAGCAAAAATGTTATTAAAATATTTCGAAACTATTTAATGTCTTTAAAATGCTATTATAAGTACTTGATAAATATGATGGTAAATATTTTGTGTACCTAATTATGATACCAAAAAACTTTTTGGTGACTTTCTGGTAATTTTTTTTTTTTAACTACGAATGAGAATTTATGAAAAATCTTGTATCCAATTTTCAAGTTTTTAGAATGAAAATGTAAAGTTTACTGAATTTTTAACTTCAAACGTAAAGTAAATTTTCGTGATTTTTATTGTTTTGTCAAAATTCAATGTTAAACGCTCATAAGAATGTTTTTTTAATTAAACTCTATTTTTTTTCATTAATCTGAAAGAGATACATATGAGAAATTTTGTATTAAATTTTCAATATTATTTCATTAAAATTTTACGAAAAATAGCTAAGGAACATGAAATTTTCAAATAACCTTTGATAACTATATCATTTTAGCGAACGAAGTTATAACAATCTGTAAAAATTTCAAGTCACTAACGATAAAAAGAATATATGAAATACGATTTTGTAAAGATCCTTTTTAAGTCTCAGCTTATATTGAAGTAAAGTATATAGTTAGATTGTTGTTTTTATTTTTAATTATAATAAAAGTGATTATTTAATCGTAGCGTTTGATAAAAACATTATGCTTCATGTTCATTTACATACATTATAATATATTATATATATAAATAAAGAAATTATTTGTTTATTTGTCGAAACTTACTCTAGTATAGTCAAAATATGAATTAACTAGGTACTATATACTTCTCGACAGTGGTGTGTTGAAATAATTTTTTGTGTGGAGCATAAATGTATATAAGGTAGCTCATTAGCGGCGGATTTAACGGTCGTTTAGTAGGCGAATGCCGACGGGGCCCCTTCCTAAATTGTTTGCTGTGGCCCAGGAAAATTATAGTTAATTTTTTTTTTAATTTTACCAGAAAAAAAAATTATGGTACAAATTGTAATATCGTTTACAATTACCATTTTTATTTATAACAAAATAATTTAAATTTAAAAGAAATACTCAAGAATACTCCGATTATTTCAAAAATAGAACATTTTATTTATGAACAAAGTAGAAAAGATCGAATATAGATACAGTTAAATACTGTTGACATTGATTATAGAATTCTATATAATTTCCGAGTATGTACACTATACTAATATATGAACAATGATTTATTATCAGTTTCGCTGCATCACGTTATTTATAATGTACTATTTTCCATTTTCGTATCGCGAAAACACGAGTGTAGCGAGCAGCTTTGTAAAACGAGACTAAGAATTTTAGTGATACATTTATTACGAGGCCCCTCTTTTGGATTTGCCGACTTCATTTAAACCTTTAAATCCATCACTGTACCTCACCTCCACTGATGGCTTAAATAATTCACCAAAACAAAACATTTATAATATTTACAAAATATGCCTAATTTGTACAGATATTTGTAATTACCAAATTTATTACACTTTGATGATGTAGTCTTACAGCTTACAATATTGAATATATTATTATTAAACTTAGTATGGTAGTACCCACCGACCCGTTATTGAATGTTGTAAGAGCAAATTCTCCAAAATAATACCTTTGCTTTGCCACTGTAACATGAACACACGTACAACTTATTTTATAGTTATAGAATATTAACATTAAATTTAATAAAAACTGATTTTAATTAGTATTTAAAAATTTTACAGTAAAAGTATATTGTTGTGAGTAAGTCATGGCATCGAGGTAAACGGTTTTTTTTTTCGAAAAACAACTCGCAATCATGCCTGACGCAACAGATTACGGCGTCAATGGAAACATGCAAAACGCGTTGCCGATAGTCATTGATTGTAAACTTTACAAAAGACGATGGCCAATGTTGCTTCTATTCGTCTTGTGTTCAATGGCCAGCGCAGCTCAGTGGATCCAGTACAGCATCATATCCAACGTGATCCAAAAATTCTACAACGTTTCAAGTTTTACCGTCGATTTGACGTCAATCGTATACATGATCACTTACATACCACTCATATTCCCGGCATCTTGGATACTCGACAAAATGGTATGTGTAATTATAGTTAGTACAAAGTTTAGATAATAGTCTATGAGCAATGTTGAATAATGTTCACCGTATTTAAAAAATATGAGATTTGTTAATTCGTTTTGAAAAATAAATCAAATATTTCAATAAGACTTGCATTATATTATTGCATAAATTATAAAGACTGGGTGTATTAACTAATTTTTTAATTCGCTAAATAAATTTATGATTAAACGTAACTCACAATTTTTATTGATTTGTAAAAATTAAAAAAATAATTAATATACTAAATATTAGTATTTTAACAGAGAAAATTATTTTTTTTGTGTTAGTTATGTTTCAATACGTTATCAATAATTCCTTTTGATATCAAAGTATAGTGCATTCAGATTTCAACCATTATGATTCCGATAAATTTAAATTAAAAAACAATAATTTGTCCAAAAAAATATATTTTTGTTCTTTCAATCTCTGAAATTTATAATTTTTTTTTTTTTTTTGGGGGGGGGGGGGTAACGGCCTTTAAGACCAGCCTGAAATTTATAATAAAATATTAAAATATTAAATATAAAAAATGTAAATATTAAATAAAAATAAATAAAATATAAAATATTACAATTATCTTAACATAAATATAATTAGGTGTTTCGATGCTACACATCATGTAAAAAAAATTTAGATAGAATAGAAACTCAAGTAATAAAGTACAGTAAGTAATAACTTAACTTTTTAACTCATGAATGTCCAGTCATAAAATTAGATAAATTATTTATTTTAGAATTATATGCTATTTTTGTGACTTATACATTAATATTACAACCACATATAGACAAGTCATAGATAGGATATACCACCAAGTACATTTTACATAATAAAGATATACGAGGTTTATATATCTATCTATATATATATCTATCTATATATATCTATACTATAGGCATTATGCCGTGTCATCAATCTTTCCCATTTTAAAATCTTTTCCTTCGTGAGTATACAATCATACGAGATAAAGAAAACATATCAATGGTTTCTTATGCGTTAGCACTTGACTTGTATAGGCTTATATAGCTACATTATTACATTACTCAAAAAATATTACGAGTATATAAATAAGTAAAATAAAGTTAAAATATTTTAAAATATTTAAGATTCAATCTAATTAGTTGGTTATTTATTTTTTTATAATTTTAATAAGTTATGATAACATGTTAGAAATTTAAATTGTATAATGTGTATGACAAATCTTCAATATAAAAATATAGTACCTATAACAATCTTTTCCCAGTTAATTTCAATGATTATAATTTGAGTTAGTTGATATTCTAAAACCTATTTCCATAATGTTTTTGGTGATCATGATGATGTCATTAAGAACGCGTAATTTTAATAGTTTACCACAAACTGGAAAATCCCATATAATAACCTAGGTTATTGTCTGGCATATTTTTTTATACATAGCTATTTATTATATAATATGCTAATTTTTTTTAATTATTAATTAATGATTAAAAAACAAAATCGTATTTCTTATAGACAGTGATAAACAGTTTATGTATATCAAAAACTAATATCTATGTATATATTTTTAAATGGTTTTTTTTTATAAAAATATTTAATTTTTTTAATTTTACAAAATCTAAAATGAAATAAATTCACATGCATCTTTTTTTTAAAAAATAGTAGGGCTACGATAGAATATCTAATATTTAAATGAGGAACAATTCTCCTGTGACCCTTCCCTCTAATCAAATATGACTTATAGTCAATATATATGTGATATAGATATATTACTTCATAGTTTGTATAAACTATTAAGAATAAATATTATATTAAACAATGAAAATAATGATATATTTGTTCAACTATATAGTTGACAAACAAAATTATCTACTTTTGCAACACGACTCGTCCGGGAATAATTATAACTAAAATATTGGAAATGTATGAACAATAAAGGATATTAAAGTGCTCGGCTAAATATTGTTCATATAAGAAACGGACAATATTCAATTCTTAAAATCCATACACTTATCTTATAAATTAAAAAAAATTATAAAAACTAAAGTCCATCTGGCCGTTCCATCCGGCCGATTTCCTTCATTTTTTTTTTTTTTTTTTAATGAAAGGTATTTAGACATAGATATGTCATCAATCATTGAAATTTACTCAACTCCCACCAACGCGATTCTTCCCTATACATTTCTTATGGGACACATTCATTCAAGCAATTCGAATTCTCATAGCTCCTCTTCTAATGAATGGATCTTGATCGTTTCACTCTCAGAACACTCAGTGGATCAAGCTCTTTCTTTTGAGCTGTTAACTGCTCAAATTCGTTGAGTTTGAGGAAAGTTATATGTGCACAATCAACTTTACTTTCAATTTTTTCCAAATAATGCATTCTCATTAGCTCTTACCCAGTGATATAACAACAAACAACTCACAAACAATACTAATATTATTACTTATATTAACTAATATTGTCTGGAAGGAAGCACTGTAAAATAATTTTATGTAATAATTACACCCTCTCATACATAGTCTATCCTAATGCTCCGGAACATATATTTTAATAAACATTCTCTGTCATTTCGATATGTCTTTAAATTTTCGATATTATACTCATTTATTGAATTGTTAAAATGTGTTTATGTATTGATTTGATTGCACCTATACTTTTTATTATATAAATAAATTATCTAATGCGAATTTTCTCAATGGGTATACTAGTATAATATTAAATAGGAAAATCAAATATGTTTAAAGTCATAGTCCGCGGAGTTTAGTGAATCATAAGACAATGCTCATTTTAAACAGCTACAGCTACCAATATTTTCGACAGACTTGAACAATAACTACCGATATTTTCATAATTTAATATGGTGGATTAAAAATAAATAATATTAAAGTTTAAATGTTCTTTCTTGTTTTATTACAGGGTCTCCGCGTAGCTATGATAGCCGGCGCATTTGGTACAATGATTGGCGCCTGGTTTAAAGTAGCGTCCTCCAGACCGGACCGATTTTACATGACCATGTTTGGTCAAACGATCGTGGCAAGTTCGCAAGTTTTCATATTAAACTTGCCTGCTCGTTTGGCGGCTGTATGGTTCGGCCCGTCGGAAGTGTCCACGGCGTGTTCGATCGGAGTGTTTGGAAATCAGGTAAACGGTAAAAGTACCTACATCGTAAGCGGTATGATTTTGAATTGTATGATTCACTAATCGCCTGAATTAATGAACCACCAAATACTTAGAAGGTGACTACTTAATGATGCAACTCGTTTTCAATAGACGAGTACTTTCATTTAAAGTAGTTGGCTGGTAATATGAACATGATATTATCATGATGATAATCTGATGATCAAGTATAATTTTTAAAACAAATGTAAACAGTAAATAAGACAATAATTACATCAACTTTGATGTAATTTACAATGTAATGACGAAAATAAAATTTTCTAAGTGCATAATATTTTGGTGAGTAAGTTAGTGAGTAGTATTTATATTGCCTATTCTTAAATGTTCAGCTGAAAAATATTAAATTGCCTCTAATCTACGTTGTATCGACAGTTATAATATTTTACTCGTATATTTTTACAACGACGATGACCAAATATTATCTTAACTTATAAAATTATATGTACTCATCTTTATACACAAATCCAATAAACCAAATAATGAACCTTGCTCAAATAAACCAAACGTTTATTACTAGTATTAAGAAAATTATTAAAAAAAGTGATGTTAAAACGAATCAGACCCACTCTTAAGTCCCAAAAAATTATTCCAAATTCTCAATTTCAATCCAAAGAAAACCACTCCTCAACCTATCAGATCGACCAAATTGTCGACAAAATAGCTTCGTCGTTTGAAAACAAAAACTTCTGCTTAAGAATTTATTCTTTAACGTATCACAAGCTTTTAATCGAGTATGGTAAACAGTGGTGTACCGACTAGTTCTTTAAATTAAAATATTTTCTTACATTTTCACATGTTGACCAAATTGTATTTACTAAACTACTCATTTCTCGTCCATCAAGGAAATTCCTTCTTATCAAACTTCTAAATCCAGGTAAGACTAAGGCTATGGTTACTATGGATACAGATTTTGACGAAAATGTGTTCTGACGAGTTCTGACGGATTCGTCTAAACAAACAAACACGTATTTTCCAATGAGAGTGTTTACATTGGCAGCGACGATCACGTCAGAACATACACGATATCGTCAGAAACAGTTGAGCGTTCAAACAAGTTAGATTTTTTCGTGCGAACTGCGTCTATTTCAACGTGATTGAGATTAGCAAATTTGATATTTTACAATTATACAATTTATTAATATATTAATTTATTTGAATCATGGATTCCGATAAATTAATCAGTCTCGTGTACGAGAACAGGTGTTTGTGGGACATGAGAGAAAAATATTACCAAAACAGAGATATTTCTCTTCTAAAAAATAACTGGTTAACTTGCTCTGTTTTTCCACCATTTAACAATGATAACTTCATTAACGAACTTTCGAGAACATAAATTCATCAAATTCGTCCATCTTTGCTGGGTGACAAAAATGTACTGTCAGAATATCAAAAAACCCGCAAAGTGTAACCATCTTGTGTTCTGACGAGGATTTCGGGCGTACTCGTCAGAATTCGCATGCATAGTAACCATAGCCTAACTCAAGGTAGTAGCATATCATTAAACTTTGTATAACAATATAATTTTGTTAAAATCAAAAATAAAAAACTTATGAACACATCTGGCAACCAAATTATATGGAATTCTTGGTTTTGTGTTTATAGCTAGGCGTAGCACTGGGTTTCCTACTGCCGCCGTTAGTGGTTCACGATAGCGATGACTTGTACGACATTTCTTCCGGTTTGTCTCGAATGTTTTACACCACAGCGATAGTTTCGACCGTTGTATTTTTATTAGTATACTTCTGTGAGTTTACCAAACAATCAATAAATAATTATAATATAATACGTACACATAAGTGATATGTACGCGGTATTATTATATATTATAATTTTTTCCCTATTCTTCTCTGTACAGTTGTCACAGCATCACCTCCACTGCCGCCGAGCTTAGCGCAAGCCAACCAAAGGTCGACAACCAACAACAATGACCCCAGGAATTTCATTAAGTCCCTGTGGCGACTAATTGGCAACTACGGATTCGTTTTGTTGTTGCTGTCGTACGGCATGAACGTCGGGTCTTTTTACGCCATTTCTACGTTACTCAATCAGATCATATTGCAATATTTTCCGGTGAGTACATACAGAAATTTGGATCGTATAATCAACGCACCCCGAAATTGTATTGAAACCATATTACAGGATTCACGTTAATAGTAGCTATTAAAGTCAATATCCACCATACGGTTTGTAACCTTAGATTAAAATTATCAAAATTCAAAATGATAAAATATTAAAGACTTTAATTTAATTGTATCCTAAGTAGAATCTGCATATAAATATTTAAAGTATCGAATTTCGTTCTATAATTGTTAAATTTCATAAATAATCACACCTAAATTAAGGATAGGTAGTGTATTTTTCTACCCACTAATCTATAATGCTATATAGTATCATCGATTATAAATATATAGTATATATATAATTATATATAATATTTATAATCAATGATAGTATGGAAATCTGAGATGGTGTCTTTAAAAATATTCTCTTAAGGCCTAAGAATATAACAAAATAATGCAATTCGAATATGTTAAAGAAAACTAATCTCATTGTGTCTACCTATTCCAATTATTTATAGTTTAATAATTTAATATTTTGTATACTAGGCACGTCCCACGTAAATAAATAAATATTCTTCCAATAGAAAAAAAAAAACGTATAACTTTTGTTACAAAAATGTTCTATATGAAATCTAGATTTATCTCATAAAAACAGAAATGAAAATTCACGAGGGAAAAATATTATTTCACATTAAAGTGATCCACACGATTAAAAATTTTTATCAAAAGTTCATTAATTATTTAAGTTCTTTAATTCGTAATTTAAGAATACCCTAAGAAATTCGTGAAACTAGTTGAAATATGCAACCAGCAGATCTTCTGCTAAATACGTTTCATGGGAAAGACATCTGAATATTTTGAATGTAAAACCGGTTTGAGATAAGGAGACGTATTATCGCCAGTACTTATTTAACTTGACGTTTGAAAAAGTGATAAGAGACATCCGGAGGAACAAGAGATGGAAATAATCGGGGTAAACACACTTTTAGCTTACGTGGATGACATCGTCATTCTAGGAAGATCTCAGAAAGAAATTGAAGAAAAGGCAAAGAGACTATTTTTAGCTAGCCATAATATGGGTTTATTAGTTAATGAAGCCAAAACAAAATATATGATGATGTCAAGGCAAGTGATCCAAAAGAATAATATCAAGGTAAATGGATACTCATTCGAGCAAGTGGAAAAATTTAAATAACTGGGTGTAAATATTAATGAGGAAAATAATGTGCACAACGGAATCAAGCTTAGAATGTGCGCAGCGAATAGAAACTGTTACGCTATGAAAGAGATGTTCTCGTCAAAGCTTCTGTCGCACCGAACGAAAGAGAGGTTATACATTACATATTTGTGCCCCATAGCAACGTATGCATGCGAAACATGGTCAAGTATATAAGGAGATGAAGATAAACTCTCAAGTTTCGAAAGAACATTTTGAGCGTAAATATATGGGTCAGTGTATAATATAGATTCAGGGATATTTGAAAGAAAAAGGAATGATGAGTTACAAAGACTTTATAGTAATCCAAGTATATGCCAATTCATTCGTAGTAGGAGAATATAATGGACACGCTACGTATAGCGGACAAAAGGATGCCTCATACAGAAGGTTATGGTGGGGAATCCAACTGGAAAGAGACCCCTGGGGAGACCACGCCAAAGATGGTTTTATTCGGTGAAGAGAGACCTGTCAAAAATAAACAACACCTTCAGCATCGACATGGTAACAGATAGGGATCAGTAGAGAAGGATTGTGGAAGCGGCAAAGGACCTAAATGGTCCGTTTTAATAAACCAGAAGAAGAAGTAGAAGAAGAAGAATTCGTAATTTATAACTCTTTACTAATGGATGTAAAAAAAAAAATGTTAAATGAGAATTTAAACATTAAGAATTAAATCAATAATATATCGTTAAATGATCTAAGCCTTAAAAAAAACACATTTTATTATTCAATATATATATATCAAATATATTAGTTATTCATTCATTATAATAGGTAGGTATGTATGTAGTGTGATATACGTAGTATAGATATATTCAAAAGTGTATAATAGTAACCGCCACAAACTCGGTTCAAAAGATTGGGTAGGTAATTTTGATAGAATGTTATTATTACATTGTACGTTATTTTAATATTGGTCTAGTAATAAAACAAATTTTAAATTCAAACCTTAAAGGACAATGCAGTAGACGCTGGCAGAATAGGTTTGTCGATCGTTGTTGCTGGAATGTTTGGTTCAGTTGTGTGCGGTTTTGTTTTGGATAAAACGCATTTGTTTAAGTTAGTATGATTTAGAGCTATTATTATTAAACGAAAAGAGGCTTTTCGTATACGACACTAATCGAGAAAAATTGTAATAATTTATAGAGAAACAACGCTCGTGGTGTACGCTTGTTCGCTGTTCGGCATGATAGTCTACACGTTCACGTTGTCTTGTGGACACATATCGATCGTGTACCTGTCGGCGATCCTACTCGGGTAACGTTCGAAACCGCATATGAACCATATATTTGGCGTTATTGTAAAAATGTTTTTTTGTAATATGTTCCGTTTGGCTGATGCAGGTTTTTCATGACCGGTTACTTGGCTGTTGGATATGAGTTGGCCGCCGAACTGACCTATCCTGAGTCCGAGGGAACGTCCAGCGGAATGTTGAACGCAGTGGTGCAGGTGTTCGGTATCATATTTACACTGGTTTACGGATGGATTCTACAAGCGTCCGGGGACAAGAAAGCCAATCTATTTTTGGCCGGAACACTTGTTCTTGGAACTTTGTTCACAGCCATGATACCGTCGGACTTGCGGCGGCAAGCGGCTCAGCAAAAGAAATCATTGATTAACTAACGAAAGTTTTCACTGTTAAGTGATGTCAATTCAAATTTTTATAAATTTATTAACAACACAAACGTATTAAATATGTTGTATACTTGTATTGATACATATTTTATTTTATGGATCTGATAATATTTCCGTTTTCGCATAGTGATGAATCAGACTTAAGAATTCCATAATATTTTAGTAAAATATAAAATATATTTTTGTTACTGAATTTTTAAAATATATTTTAATATTTACTGTTTGTTGTAATATATTATACTTTTATTTTTCTAATAAATAAAAATTTACTTTGTATAAAGTTTAATTCAATAATAGAAAATATTCTTAACTAAAACACAATGGTGTTTATCAAAATAATTTCAATACTGTATGCATACAAGTATTTTCAATTGCTTTCAATGATACGATTCTATCAGTAAGCAATGATAATCAAAGTCAATGCCATAAAAAAAACCCTAATTCATTTAAAAAATAATACTAAATAAACATTTAGTGTACTAATTTTACATCATTATTCATGATATGATGGTCACTAGAAAACATGCAAAAGAAATAAACTTAAAATAAACAATTACTTTTATATACACAATATTTATTTATATATTATAATTTTATTCTTAAGAGTTTAATAAGGTTTATTTATAAAATAATCAATAGTTTAATGTGAAATAAAAAATAATACATTTAAATAAAATACATAATGAAAACATGAAAATATAGGTGTATATATAATTATTGAAAATATGCAAGATTAAATTGTATACTTAAAATTGACACACCCAATGAAATATAATTGTACTTAATAATTTTTTATTTCTGATGTAAGAATATAATGCATAAAAATGACAATTTCACTAATATTTTAATATTGTAATAACCCAAAAGTACAAAAATGAAATAATGTAGGTATATAGGTGTGGTAGGTGTGATGCGATGGGTTATTACCTTCCTCCTTGTTTAAGGGAAGGCTCTCGGGGTTGAGAAGGTTCGAGAGCCGATCAGTGCAATTGTGCAGTCTGCCAAGCTAAATAAAATAGCACTTACCTGTTCGCCGTAGAACTTCTGATGTCGACGTGAGGTTGAACAAGAAAGAACAAATGCAAATTTTAATGGCACCAGAACTGGGTATTCTTCAACACTCGTACGAAGAACGCAAGTCGAACAGATTCAATATTTTTTTTTCTTTTATTTGAGTTAAACTTGAATGATTCAAAACAAATCGCGTATGTAAATATGCAAATCGTTGGTCGTTGATCTTATGATCGGTGCGCATGCACTGACGATCTAAGACCAATGACCCTGTGTGTGTGTGTCCCTGTTATATAGGCACATGCGGTGGCATGGACCTTGGGCCTGTCCTTTTAATGTAGGGATGTCAATACTACTATTGTTCGACCCGTGTCGTTCGTGCGGGTATCGAAGATACCGTTATTTATTTGAAAGAATTTAAAAATATATATTGTATACATAATAAAATATTTGTGCCGTCTTTAACAGTCGAATGATGCACATCATTACAATATTATTTATATCGAATGATAACTTTTTTTTTTTGACAGTTTATGCAAATAATGTACTTTTAATTTTATTTAAGAATTGAAAATTTTAGGAAATATAGATTTACAAATCTGCCTATGTTTGAACATTGTAAAATTGCATTATTTAATCTGAAATTAAAATAGAATACAAAGAAAATACAAGTATGAGAAACTAAATATAAAATATAATAAATAATACTATTGTCCAATTTTAGATGAATGTCCTTGGATATGACTAAATTTTTTTTATTGAAGAAATTAAAGTTAATTATGCAGAGAAATTTTTAAAAATCACAAAATATTTTCTATGTATGCATTAATTCTACATTTTCTTATGGCTCTATAAAGTTTAATGTGTAACTCCTCTCACTAAAACATTGCTGAATTTTTTCTTAACATAAACGAAGCTCAACAAAAAAGATTAATGACTATTGTGTTTTTATAAAATTAATTAACACCACTGAATGCATGTTATCTTACTTAGTGAAATAGTTAAGTAGCATTCTATCAAAATCAGAACTACTTAACGACTTTTAGTAATATTTTAATTCAATTACTAGAAATAGGTTTCGTTTTAAAATCAATTAAAATTATGATTTATTATTGAATTCTTGCAAACCAAAAGCTGTCAATGAGTATTGATATTTATTTGTAATAATATTATCAATAATTTATAATATTTAAAAATATATTTTGTATCATTCTAAATTATAAAAGCTGAAATATATTTTTATTGTTATATATTAAAAAATATTAACATATATTTTTCTATTATATTTTATTTACACTCATTGAACATAACTTGTACATAAATTATAAAAGAAAAATATTACCATTCATAAAATATATTTAATCAATGGTATAAGAATATCATATTATATAAATCATGTATTATATGATTGATTCTTCTCTTACGGCATGATTATACAACAGTACATTTTAATTATATATACTTGTCACACGCTCTCTTATATTAGTAATTATTATCTAATTGCATAAACTATCCGAGTATTCCTAAAGTCATCAGATTAGTCAGTCGCTGGTTTTGACTGTTCTTAATTACAGCAGATGGCCAATCCGTTGGAGAGTAGGTAATCAAGCAGATTGACTTATCAGCAATCTGCCATTTTACGGATTAACTGAAATGAAACCTGCTGGATTTAATGTTTACACCAACTTGTTACAATGCAATATCCCAAAAAAGTGTTCCTAAATTTCAATCAATCCGCTCGATAAGGTGATGAATTTAGAAATACATGGTATATTGATGGTTAATTAATAATGTACTTAGTATAGTACTTTTGTAAACCATAACAATTATTTTAGTGTTCAGCTATAATAGTTTAAACTAAAAACTAATAGAAAAAAATTAAATATCCTCTAAGAACCAATTATCAACATAATTATCAATTATTAATAGACTCTTTATTTAAATGGTTAAATAAAAATTATATATTGTTGCTTGTAGTAAAAAATTGTATTTATTTTTAGTGTGAATATATATATATATATCAAAATGAGTCAAATATTTATAAATAGTTATTTTTAAAAGTAAACTTACTACTATAGTTTTTAAAATAATAATACATACATCCAAATTATAAAAAACAATTATAATTTTGATAAATTTATTGAATGCTACAAAAACTTTAAACAACTTAATGTATATAGAAAGAGCTTGCAAAAGTTGAAACAAAAGTAAATGAAAAATAATTTATCAACTTAATACAGAATATTATTGAAAATGAATGAATGCTTTTCTAAGAACCAATGTTAATTGTTTTGTTAGAAAAAAATATTTTTAATTTATTTACATAAATTAATTGGTATTTATTTCATTAGGAAATTGGTTTGATCTTGAAATGTAATGAAATCAAAGAAAATACAAAACATTTTAGATCCTGAACTAGATAATAAAATGTTCTTAAACCCTCTGGATCCTTGGATGTATTTACATCTAATAACGATCCGGTTTTAGAAGTGGTAAACGATATATGTTCATCATCAATGACAATTTCCAGTTCCTGCCTGCCGACTCTGTCTGGTGTTGGCCACAATGCATCATCTTCGTGCATTATTTCAGAATCCGATACAATACGTTTCAATTCGTCGATGACGGGTTGATGAACAAAAACTTCTTTGCGGATCATAGTATCATTCTTGTAGTTGGAATTATTAGCATACCGTAGCTTACCATCAGGTCTAAACTCAAATTCCAAAAACTCATGACCAAATTTACCTAGAAAATAGCAAAATTAATTATTATATCAGGACTAAAAAAATTATATTTTAGGTTTATTGACTTTACTAAAAATCAGTATTAATAACATTAGCTAAATATGTATAATATTTATATAATTAAAATATGAAACTTAAAATTAACTTTGGCTATAGTCATTAATTAACATCATATTAAATCGATTAATAAACATGTACATAAATAAAAGGAAGGTTTTTGACCTTTCAAGACTATATTAAGCCTTCCTTAAAATATATAATATGCATTTGAGGAACCTATTTACATTCATGTAAAGAAGTATAAATCATTATTATGGATTAAAATTGTATAGTACATTTCATAACATTAACATGAAAAAATAATTAAAGCAAAAATATAAATAAAATTTATTTAAACAAATCAATAAATATTAAACGAAATAAGTGAAAGTATTAAACAAACATAAAATGGATAATGTGGAATAAAACAAACTTTTAGTAACTAAAAAGTAGCAATTCAAATATGCTAAGTAATGAGCATAGTCAATTCTTTATTATTCTTTTAGTATTCCTTAAATTTTTTTCTAATACCAAAAAGAACCATATATAAAATCAACTTCATAACACATAAATGTAAATAAACTATTTCATTGAAATTATACAATAAATCAATAAATCATTATTATTTGCTTTAGAGTGAAAGTCTTTATGTATGAAAAATGTGATCATAAGTATAGTAGCAACTAGCGTTTAAGTATGAATTACAGGTATCTACGCAAAATAACATTAAATACAACTGTGTTGGTTGTTATATATTCCATATGGTACTTGTCTGTTATCCCTAACCGCTCGATACCGCGACTCTCAATTCTGTTATCTCGACTACTATAGTACTATCCAGATAGTTCCGTATTTTAATACATAATACACGTCATGAATTGCCATTTATATTATAATGTAAATTAGTATAACGTATATTATCAGTAATCACATAAATTATTACAGTAGTGGAGAGTTATAGTATAATACCACGATTTAAGATAGTACTAGGTATCTTAAATCGTGTATAAAATATAAAATCATCAAAATGATCACAGTTACAGTTGCATAAGTCTAAAATTCTATTTTAGGTGACCAATTTTCAGAAATATTTTTCAATATGTTATCGAATGGTTCTCCTTCAATGTTGTTTTCCGATAAACTCCGCCAGATAAGACTCCAAATGATGGCGTCTGGTTTCCCTATGTTTTTTATTTCTCCATTTAGCGGAGTCCCAAACACGTTCGGCGTGGTAGTCGAGATAACAGAATTAAGTAGTTACGGTAGTAGGGATAACAGACAAGTACCTTCCATATTATTTTATAAGAAATTATGAAACATAAAAAAAAATGAAAACAAGAAAATTTCAACCAAGAAATTAAAAAAAATATTAATACAAACAATAGAACCAATATCAATTAAAAAAAATGATAAAATTTATTATGCCTGCTGTGAAATTATAACAATTAGTAGGTAAATAAAGAATTTTACAAACTTATAAAAGGTTCCTAATTTATATAATAGTAATATTATAATACAAAAACTTGTCGTATATTTTATTATAGAAAACAGTTAAGAATTAAGTAGCAGAAGTATGACCAAAATTTAGTCACGGCGACGATTCATATGAAATCAAAGTTAAAACGACAGTAGTTTAGTTCTAAACCCTTGGTTAGGAATTTTCAGTATCCAATAACAGTCGGTTGTTGTTATTGTGGTGAATTTCTTGTAGAAAGAATTAATGAGCCACGTTTCGTACTAACCTTTGTGACCAATGTAGTAGCGCAGGTAAAACTCTCCAGACATGTTGTCACGCGTTGATGAAGAAAAGTAAAATTGGAACAGAAACACTGGGTATCAAGAACACAAGAATTTTTTGTATTCGAACGTCGTTGTTGTCGGCCGGTATCATCAAAAAGGAATATGTACTATAGAATGCGCCTGAGATATGACTACGCAGTGTAGCCAACAGACGGAGCGGTGAAATTCCCATGACCGCGACCCTCGTTATCGGCACATCAACGGTCCGCTGAACTCCCGTGTCCCACCACTGCCGCCGATACCAATGACTGGTATGATCGATACGCTGCGTTCGCGTCTCTTCCATGCCGACTGTAGGTTGGTTGCTCTGGAACGTATGCTCTCACACACACACACACGCGTACCGACGAACCGAGACGCCATCTTATGGCCAAATTGCGTTTATTTGTGTTGGACCGTACGTACGTGACGGATTCGGACTGCGTGATGGTGGCGGAAGCGTTCGGGAAAGTAGCATAACATCGTTGTCGGGCAGTCGATGCGCCAGCACGGTCGCATGTGTATAATTAGTTGTAGTTATTGTAGTCAATTTTTTTTCTTTCCTCTTCGCGTTCCGTTCACAACCGTAGTGCGTGTCCGATCGCAATAATATCGTGTGTATGGCTCGACAATGTCGCCGCCACCCGTAGTCCGATCGTATTGATGAGAGCATCGCGAGAACCGCACACCCGCCCGTATCCGTCCGTCACCGACGTCCTTTTAACTTCGTAGGCAGTGAGCTAGTTGGTTAGTGAGCGTGTGTGTGTACGCGCGCCAAGTTTCATTACCATCGAGTGTAGCTGTAGCTGTAATATTATAAGTAGTGTTGTTGGTGGTGCCGTGCGTCCCGCAGACACGGCCAACATGGAGTTACGATTACACAGCCCCGTGGGTGCCGATCCCGTCGTCTATAAATGGCCAATGATCATCGGAAGAGGCTCGGTAAGTCAACAAAACCAATGATAACCTCGTCGTTACCGTCAGTTCCCGTCCGAGTTACGATACGTTAGTATCGGACCGCTGTGTTTCCTCGTTCCGTAGAATTCGCGCGCGGGGTGACGGTCACCGGGTAGTTATCCCTTTCATGTGTATGCGAAAATTACTATCACCAGTCAATCGAAATTCCGCGTTGGTCCGCTTTAATACCATGATGTAATGCGTTATTATGTTGCGATGATGACGGTAGTTCAATGAACTCTGCTGACACTCGGTACTGTCGTCCATCGCCCTATGCGCGCGCCAAGCAATAATAGTAGCAATAATAACAATATTAGCAATAATACGCGTGTGATTTGCTGTTCAATAATAATTGTTGTACGTCCGAACCCCCGACCGCCAAGGCTTATCAATTTCCTAATGGTCGATCAATTGTCTTTCTTCGTATCCGTATTTGTTGGCCGCGAAAACGACGTTACAGGGACATAGTGTAATATTCGGTGCGGTTTATGGTAGTGGGGATATGGTGTTAATAAACAAAAATAAAATTTTTCTGTGGTTGATACTCGTCGCGATAATCGGAAGATCAAAAATGAGTGGTAAATCAATCGGTCGAAGGCAAATATATTAACTATCGCCTTGGTTATTTAACTCGTAACCAAATTTACATTTTAATATATATAAACCTAGTATTTGTTAAATCATTGGTCATTAGTAGCATAATAACTTATGAATGATTATACTGGGAGGAGGAGAGGGAGTACTTTACGACCATGTATCTCATTAACGTATTTCGGAAATCAATAGTGTTCGTATGAACAATAACTATTACTGCTCATAATATAGAATTAATGATGACATTATTCTTTTGTGTTTCAGGACAAACACGATGGCGCTTTGGGAATTATAGAAACAATAAAGTAAGTAAAAAATATAGTTTTACACTCAGAATTTACACACTACTTTTAAGTATATTACATACACAAATAAATATCATTTTAAATGGTCGAGTTGTGTTTTTCTTACAATTAGGTAATAATGTGCTATACCTGATAGTCACAAATACATTTTTAAATTAAATATGTTGAATATCATATTGCATTGCATGCTTATATTTAACTTAAGTTAAATTAAATTCATGTTAACACCTTAATCAAAATCGTTGTTCTGTGTTATTATACATATGCTATTGTCAAATTGTACAGCAAATATTAAATTGTATATTTGAAAAATTAAGTATTTAACTTAATTCCAAACGTAAACTCATCATATACTGTTGTTTGAATTATCAGTTGTTTCATATCATTCGATAAGAGATGAAATAATTATTTGAGTGTATTAAATTTGGTGAATTTTCCAACCCAGTCACGTTCTATATATTTTAATAATAATAATGGTTCATTTACGTGCTACAGAATTTGTCACATTATCTGCACTAGCTACTATATATGACACGTGTATGGTAGTTTTTACCATTTTAACGGAATATAAAGTCTTACATTTTTCCTCGTCACAGTATTGAAGTAAAATATTGTAACTTAGGACGTGTAGTGATGTTACTGAAACTCATACTAGTTACCATGATTCTTCAAAATTAATTTAATTTTCCTGTTTACCCGTTATACATATATGTATGTGTGTGTTAGTAAAAAAATGAGTTCATGTTAAGTTCAAAACTGCTTTTGTTTATAACTGCAATTTTTAATAATTTATATCTATCCTTACCAAAACCAGCGAATATAATTATCAATTTTTGACATCCACGTTGGTTCGATTATATAACTAGTACTAATAGTTGTCCAATGCATGAACTGGTTATTCGTAGACATTCGGTACGTTGACCTTGAGCGTGAATTTCATACGCTCGACACGTTTAGCACAATCGTATTTCCTGTTTGGTGCCAGTGGAAACACGTGATTTGAAAAATATTGAAAAGTTACGCGTTTGCAATGGCACACATAGTATAAGAAGACATTTTTTTTATTCCCACGTCCGGCCAACGTCGCCGTCTGTAATTGTCTATAAAAACAGCGGAGTAGGAGATCATTACCGATTTATAACAGACACAGGCTAGCAGTTTAGGAGGCCATAAACCGGTTGTATCATCGGTTTAACGAACTCTGCCACCGCCGCTGTAGCTGCGATCCATCTCCGTCGTAAGGCAGCTCGCGTGTATATTTTTTTTTACAACAATTGTCGTCACCAAATTATTATTATATTACATGATTATATGCATGGGATTTTATTAAATACATATATTGTATGACTCGCGTAATCGTTGGACCACGTTTTGCATACAACGACACCTTTGCAGTTTTTTCACCTTTACCTAACCTATCTATTTTCCTTTTCGTACGTACTTTTGTACGTACACAGGGATGCCATCGCCCACAAAAAAATGTAACGATGGCGGGTGCATTCCGATCGCGTGTTTACCTAAAGACTGTACCGGAGGGACGGCTGCACGAAAAGATGTTATTGTATATACCTCGAAGATATTGATGTAATATATAATAAGATATATCGTACACGTGGAACGTACAAAAATTACGTGCCGGACTCGACACTGCATGTTCCGCGTCTATGGGTGAAGAAAAAAAAAGACGACGATAAAAATACAATAACAGCGTAACAGCGTGTGCATTATTCGGTGTAACAAAAGAAGAAGAGATAGGAAAAAAGGAAGGAACCTTGGTCGGAAAACAACTGGTGCCAATGCATTTTACTCTGCTAGGACCGTAGCCGTCTTACGACCGCCCCGTTCACTTTTAACCGGTACATTTTTTTCCCTTCTGTTTTTCAGTACAACGACAACGAAAAACGTCTTATAGTTATCGTTCATTCGTTTCCCTTCTTCGTTCATTTTGCCGGCCGGCCGGGCAGGAGAGCGATGACCGTGGTTGCTCGGGGCCAATAACTCGACTGGCATCTTTCAAGGACACGGTTTGGCGGTAACCCTCTGATCAACCGGATTCGTGAATAAAAATACGAGATTCCTATTGTCTTGTCGATAAAAAAAAACAACCGTGGACGGTTTTGCATTTTTGGCGGGATTACTTGGAACCAAAAGACTTCAAATAATTTACAATACGAATGCATCTATTACAATCTACTTTTGCTTCAATACAATGACGATTGCAATTTTATTTTTATTTTTTTTTTTTAAGAAAAAGAAATTTTATTGCTTTAATTAAATACTGTTGCTTAAAAGAATTATTATCAAAATCATCAACCGACATTTTTAGTAAATTGTTTTCTAAAACTTCATATTTAACAAAACATGAAATTATTTATAAAAATATTATTCCGTTGTAATTATTATAGATATCCTCGTCCATTTTCATAGTCGTCGTTACCTACAGTTATATTTAATTAGAGAGTTTTATTCCTGAAATGCATTATTCTGTGAATATTAATAATGTTTTATATGTATTTTTAGAATAACTACACACTTATATAGGTTATTATTTTGTTTAGGATATTAATCTCTGATAAATAAGAAAAAAATCTCCTTAGTAGAATCTACTTGATTAATTTGCATTAAAAAGTATATTCTTATATTTTTAATCCTTAATAAGATAAATTACTTTAATATTACACACGGAATGAAAAAAAAATAACCAATATAAATAGGTATTACAAAAATAATATTAATGTAGAATGTAGTCACAATAAATTTTCCTCGTAATTTTTGTTTCTTAAATATTAGTTTTGTGTACTTCAATAATTCTGTTTTGTTCTCAAAAAATATTTTTCCATTTCATTAAATTTTAAATATTGAAAAATGTTTCTTAAATGAGCTAACGTCCATGTAAAACAAATGTCACAATTTTTGTATGAATTTAAAATAATATTACAAATGAAAATCTGGAATATTTTTTCATTTGAAATCTTAATCTAGAAATCAGTTTGTAATTTTGATTTACCGCTCAGTGCTACCAATAAAAAAATGCAATTACATAATATAATAAGTTCATCTTACCTTATACAATGTATGAAGTTAATAAACTTGTTTTTGTTAGGGAACTATTTTAATTTATCCATACAATGTATAGAGTGTTTATTTATCATATCAAAATATGATAGTTGAAACATAATTATATTAATTACTTAATTAACAATCTTAAAATGTAGTTATTTCAAAAGACATTATTATTTAATATAATTTTAACTAAATTGTTACTGAATGATAAATACAGTCAATAAAATTATTAAACTTTCATTTTTATCGACCAGTATACTTGTATTGTTAATTGATAATATTGTAAATAAATTAAACAAATTATAACCTAACTGCCAGGCTACTTAGCTAGCCAGCTATTTTTAAGTATTATATAATATTATATGATTAAAATGTAAAATATTAGTAAAAATTTTTGTAAATTTAAATGTCTATGAAGTAAGAGATAAAAACAAAATTCTTCTCAGTTCTTATTTATAATTTAATTTAAACTAATAGACACTTTTACTTACTTATAGTACAAACCATTGATTTACGGCCTGCATTAAATTCCAAAACTAGGAAATTTCATTTGAATTTAATGTCAATATTTATTTGTATTGTTTGGCTCGCGAATCCTTTTTAATTTGTGCCCAAGAGTCCAAAAAGATTGCTAACCACTGGTATAGTGTTATATAATACTATATATATCATACTATGTTAGTACTCAATTGGTTCTAGGAAAATAATATACTTATAATTCAAATTATATTAAATTTATTTTTTATTAAATTCAAAATTTAAAATTTTAAAATGTATGATTATAGATATATTTAAAAATTATTCATTAACCAGAAATAAATTAAAAGTTATTTTTATTCAAATATATTATTTCTGACTATCATGAATACCATATGTAGCTCTGATAATTCAAAAATAAATGTTTGATCTGTTTATTTATATCCTATATTTTTATCTAAAAACACCTATATCTTTCTAAATATTAAAACAAAATACAAATTTGTAATTAAAAATGGTATTATTTACCTCAACCATAATAACATTTCATTGGTGATATATTATATATCATGAAATAAAAGCTATACAAATAAATAAAATCTTTCTGGGTTTTAGTACTTTTTTCACCTATTATTCGTATATCTAATTTAATAAAAGTTTTTAGTATTAAAAATATCTAATTAAAACTAGATAAGTAAACATGTATAAACTTAAAATTAGGTTTTTATTTATTTTAATAATAATTCGAGGTACTGTTTCAATCATATTATATTCAAATCGCAGTTATTTGTTAACGTATATATAATTATTATTATTTTTTTGCATGACAATTAATGTTATTTAGTTTTTCAATTTGAATGTAATTGTTTTGTACTAATGATAAAGCATATATTTTTAAATTTGTCAATATTTCTATTTCCTACTATCATTACTTGCATACTTCGAATAAACTAAAACGTGTTATTAATTTAAATAATTATATGTTACATATGTGTTATAATCTAAGTATGTCCCTAAATTGAAATTATTTTTTTCTGTAATTATTAAACTTAGTTATCACTAAGTAATCGCTAAAACAACATTCTATTTACATCTAAGTTAAATATACTAAGTATATTTAGTTTTAAAACGATAAACTGTTATTATATTGAACGTATATCTGAATTTACGTATCCAACGTTGACGACTTCAAATGGCCATCACTCATTAGTATTTACCATTATAGTTTAGTTCTTATTGTTATCTAATTATTTGTATTTATTTATACATTTAATATTTGAATAGATATGATATTCGTTATTATAATTACATCATATAGGTATATGATAAAAAACGTTTCCAGTTGCTTTCGGCTTAGTATCAATGTATTAAGAATTAGTATCAATTAATTTCCGTACATAATTTTATTTATGTTACTTCATTGTGACTTATGTACACAGAAAAAGTTGATCTATTATTTT